ATGCCAGGACACGGCATTTCTCGTTTGCTCCTGTGCGCCTGGATCTGCGCGGCTTGGGAGGTGCTGGCCAAATCTCTTCCAGAGCAGGGAGCGCTTGGTAAGGCTCGTCATACAGGGGATGCAGCAGTAGCAACAATAAGAAAGGGAGTGGTTGCGGTGTTTTGTTAATTGCCTTTGACATAAAACAGGCGGTAATAGGAGCCAGGCCTCCTCCGGTGCACACAGAGAGGCGTCATAATGAGGGCAAGGCTGTGTGCGTTATCATTTGTTTTTTAAGGACATTGCATTTTCCCAAACAGGGCCGAGTGTGTCTCCTTATGATTATGCATTTAATAGACTGTACATAATGTGGCTAAACAGAAACACATTCAGGCAGTGTGGGTTGCATGGCCTGGCTGCTACTGCACAAGCAAGGCCTACATTGAACACTATGCCATTTTGCATTGCACATTACAACACATATAAAGGCCCCTACCACCTCCTGGGTCTATATCTAAAATGGAACACATACGAGGCGTCAGCTAATACTATTCTTTTTTTGTGCACAGGCCTGTATAGTCTCCTCCATGCTTGTTCCAGGGCAGGTTTAGTGATGCGAAGGGGCGTTATGTAATTAGTTTGTATTATGCATGCCAGCAGTCCATTTGAAATGCATGGGTGGTGACAGAGTGGGCTTTTTTCACTCTTCATTTTCAAAACAAGATAACAAGACAACCCACCATTTTGTCCATGTTTTCTAACCTCTGTCCCATCAACACTGGGAGAGGAAATCAATTATCCAAAGTCAGGCTGATTATAAACAGTGGTGAGATGTTAGAAAGTCTTGTGTTTTGCCATTAAAGAACTATTAGGAAGTATGGGCCCATCTGAATCTAATATTCTCTGACAATACAGACTATTGCAACTGAATAATAGTTTTTTTTAATATATATATATATACAGTGCCTTGCGAAAGTATTCGGCCCCCTTGAACCTTTCAACTTTTTGCCACATTTCAGGCTTCAAACATAAAGATATAAAATTTTAATTTGTTGTCATGAATCAACAACAAGTGGGGCACAATCGTGAAGTAGAACAAAATTTATTGGATAATTTAAACTGTTTTAACAAATAAAAAAGTGAAAAGTGGGGCGTGCAATATTATTCGGCCCCTTTACTTTCAGTGCAGCAAACTCAGTCCAGAAGTTCAGTGAGGATCTTTGAATGATCCAATGTTGTCCTAAATGACTCATGATGATAAATAGAATGCACCTGTGTGTAATCAAGTCTCCGTATAAATGCACCTGCTCTTTGATAGTCTCAGGGTTCTGTTTAAAGCGCAGAGAGAACCATGAAGACAAAGGAACACACCAGGCAGGTCCGAGATACTGTTGTGGAGAAGTTTAAAGCCGGATTTGGATACAAAAAGATTTCCCAAGCTTTAAACATCTCAAGGAGCACTGTGCAAGCAATTATATTGAAATGGAAGGAGTATCAGACCACTGCAAATCTACCAAGACCCGGCCGTCCCTCCAAACTTTCATCTCAAACAAGGAGAAGACTGATCACAGATTCAGCCAAGAGGCCCATGATCACTCTGGATGAACTGCAGATAACTACAGCTGAGGTGGGAGAGTCTGTCCATAGGACAACAATCAGTCGTGCACTGCACAAATCTGGCCTTTATGGAAGAGTGGCAAGAAGAAAGCCATTTCTCAAAGATATCCATACAAAGTCTCGTTTAAAGTTTAGATGAAACCAAAATCGAACTTTTTGGCCACAATGCAAAATGATATGTTTGGCGTAAAAGCAACACAGCTCATCACCCTGAACACACCATCCCCACTGTCAAACATGGTGGTGGCAGCATCATGGTTTGGGCCTGCTTTTCTTCAGCAGGGACAGGGAAGATGGCTAAAATTGATGGGAAGATGGATGGAGCCAAATACAAGACCATTCTGGAAGAAAACCTGTTGGAGTCTGCGAAAGACCTGAGACTGGGACGGAGATTTATCTTCCAACAGGACAATGATCCAAAACATAAAGCCAAATCTACAATGGAATGGTTCACAAATAGACGTATGCAGGTGTTAGAATGGCCAAGTCAAAGTCCAGACCTGAATCCAATCGAGAATCTGTGGAAAGAGCTGAAGACTGCTGTTCACAAACGCTCTCCATCCAACCTCACTGAGCTCGAGCTGTTTTACAAGGAAGAATGGGCAAGAATTCCAGTCTCTCGATGTGCAAAACTGATAGAGACATACCCCAAGCGACTTGCAGCTGTAATTGCTGCAAAAGGTGGCGCTACAAAATATCAGCGCAAGGGAGCCGAATAATATTGCACGCCCCACTTTTCAGTTTTTTATTTGTTAAAAAAGTTTAAATTATCCAATAAATTTTGTTCCACTTCACGATTGTGTCCCACTTGTTGTTGATTCTTGACAAAAAATTAAATTTCTATATCTTTATGTTTGAAGCCTGAAATGTGGCAAAATGTCGAAAGGTTCAAGGGGGCCGAATACTTTCGCAAGGCACTGTATATGATGACACAGCATTGAAAAGCCAAGACAAAAAGACTGTTCAGATTCCCATGGCTCTTTTCTCTCAGCACTCAGAGTGTCGAGAGCTGAGACCAGATTGGGATAATACTGTTCACACAAGGGAGCCTTTATCAAGCTGCTTCTGTTCATGGATGCACCACATTTCCACATGCATCCCAATGACCAGGGCCCACCAACACATTCTTCATATGATAGAATATACAGGATTTATACTTGCTTCTCTAGTATGCTGAAGTCCAAGATTATGTACTGAATTCATGCTCCTTATTATAGATTATAGACGGCTTCCTTATTATGCTAAAGCTAGAGATTTGCCATCAATTTGGCATCTTTTTCTGTCATAGATTAGTCTGAATACATTGTTTTTTGAGTTTATTTTTATGAAGTTGAGTGCTCTCCTTCCTGTGACTGACCTTTCCTTACAGTGGGAAAAGCAATACCTAATTTTATTTCATTTTAAAATCAATGCAGTTACACAATACATATGTTTCTCTAAAATAGGGGAAGCATTTTGTCTGTCCGTAGGAGAAAAAAAAAACAATTCTGAACTTGGAACTACGGGTCTTTGGGAAGTGTTAGGCTCCGGAAAGATTGTTGTCATGAGTCCAGTTTGGGCAGAAAGTGGACTAATCTGTCACAGGGGAAATACAAGGCGGCTTTTAGAGAGTCGTTGAGTCGCCATGGAAACACCCCCGGCGTGACCCACATCCTGAGCCGTCCGAGAAGCGAGATGTGGAGGGAAAACAAAAACTACAGCCGGGCATCAATGAATTAGGACGTTCTTTCAGCTGGAAATAAGTTTAATAATGAGTCGGGCAGATAAAGTTTGTATCTTTTGTAGAACTCTGTAGAAAACTTATTTTAGAATTATGTTTTTTCTTATTTTCTGAAAGTGCATTTGACTGTTTATATTATTATTAATTTTGTCAGTATTGCTAAAATTACATACTTGATTTTAAAACTGAGAAATATATTCAATATCAATAACACATTTTATACCACAGTGAGAAAACATTATTGAGCATTCATTTCTGACATAAATAACAAGTTTTTATACAAGTTCTGATATAGAATGAAAACATTAAAAAACTGCTAATTTTCAATATGTGATTCTCAATACTTTTGACAATCTTAAATTATAAATATCTTAAAATCTACCCACTTGTGTAAAAAAGTCTTCAAATTGTACTTTGTGAAAATGAGGCAATCAATATCAGACACCCCCGTTCATCCGGTGTAACTTTCGGACATGTTTGGAGAAAGTTGCTGCGTCTAGATGGGATTCTGACATTAGAACCGCGAGGAACTGTTGCAATGCATGCTGGGAATAAGATAAATCAAAGGCAATTTTGTTATATTGTAATGTTTTGACATAACGCAGTGACATTGTTGACACAGAACATGAAACCATTTGTTGTAACGAAACACTTTATCACCGGGTTCCAGAACAAACACATGTGATTTACTGAAACTCAGACTATACTGTACTGTACTATACTATACTGTACTATACTATACTATACTAGCCCTAACCCTGTGATAATGTCTGGATGAATAGTTTGACTTGGACATGGTTTAGTTATTAGATGTTAAAAACTGATTTAGTCCCAGATGTCTGTTTTCACACTGTAAATTGTGATGAAAAATAAGTAAAAAATGGCTAGAATTAGGCTAAAAGTATCTTACTTTGAGCACTTTTCTAACTGTAGATTTATAAAAAAAGATTTGCCTATGGGATAAAGAAAAATGATCTTGTTTTAAGAAAGATACAAGAAATGTCTCTCTTGGAATGAGAAAATAATTCTGGAGAATCTGGAGAATCTTGTTTTGTACAATATTTGTCCTCATATTTGATGACTGTTTGCAGTGCATTGTTGTGACATGATTCCGTGGTTCTCTGCCGTAAGCACGAGGCTAATCCTGAATCTGTCGAGTTTAATCTGTCTATGTTGATGAAGTCCAACATCCTCTTTAAGATGGTTTAGAACTGATTTAGTCTTGGATTCTGATCTGTGTATCCGCATCTGCAACAGCTACATTCCCATATCCACAAAATTGATACAAATAAATGATTGTAGACGTTTGATTTCTTTTCCAGAGGTGCAAATAAAGGTCCAATTGTTCGACAACAGCGACTTGTCTCCTCTGGCTGATGCTGTGGTGGAGGTCCATGGGAATCAGACCATATTAGCGTCTGGGAAAGCAGGGAGTGATGGAGTCCTTCGAGTCAGCTTTTTGTACCGTGCGGGAACTTGGGTCATCATCTCGGCCTCTAAACCCGATTACGTCACCAACTCTGTACCTTGGCACTCCAGCCGCATCCCACGTAAGTTCAACCCAAAACCATTGAATTGACTTTTTTCAAACAATTCATAATGATAAATGTGTTTGTTTTGTGCAGTGTATGCAGCTGTGAGTCTGTATCTGCTCGTACAGCGACCTGGAACTCTCATTCTGTACGATGACGTCCTCCAAGTGCTGTCCGGCTCTCCAGGTTAGAACTCATAAACACATTTCATTAACTCAGTGTGTTGTTGCAGACATGTTCTGCTTTTACATCAACGACAACGGCTGTATTCAAACCAATGTGGAGAAAAACAATGTGGGGAGAAATTAACCCATTGACTGCCAGCCATTTTTGATGATTTCACTGATTTTCAAGACCCACAGAATATTATATGCTATGATTATGTGAACTATCAAACCAGATTCTGAAAGACCAGACTGTCTACTTTCAGCAGCAATAAGAAGTTTGTTTCTTGTTTGCTTCGTTCTCCTGTAATCCCCAGTTGAAAAGTGGGAAGTGTGACAGACAAAAGCTCATTTTAGGCAGTTTATTGTCCAAGAAAATGGCAAACATTAAACCCGCACTCGCTCCCGTGCTGGTAAAAGCACCTCTATGCTACCCCCTCCCACCATAGACATATTTTACCAATATAAAAGTAAATAAACAATAATAAACACAAGATTATCTTTAAACAAATAAACTTAGCAAATTGTAAGAACTTAATTAGATTCACAGAAGAGTTTTAAAAATGGACAAATGGCTCCAACACAATTATTCACAAAATTCAATCTCCTCTAGAAAAAACACTACTCTATAACAATCTTTTATTTATTGTTGTTTAGCCATTCATATTTTAGTCTTAATTGTAAATGGTCTTAGATGTGCGAAGCGTGAGTTTGCACTGTTCAACACAGACTGGGATTCGTTTCCATGGAAAGTCTGGATCTATTTTTAGGTCTGATGTAGGAGAAAACAACATGCCTGAGACACACCTGGAGAAGCAGTCTCAAACCTGTGCCTTTCTGGGCCTGGAGGGCCACCGTCGGTCCACACAGTGAGACAGAGCAGGGCCCATGGTCACTCCCGGGTCACTGCTGCTGATTTTGGCCTCTGTTTGGATCATAATCAGCATCTCATAACCTCTCACATGTATGACAAGGACAATCAGTGTGTTAATGTCAAAATGTGGGTTTGTTTTACTTCATCAAATCTGCTTGTTGAAAGTTCAGTGAGGACGAACTTTGCTGACAAACACAAACCCTAAACCAACCAATGTCTCGTGCGTTGATAGACAGCAGTCACTTAAAGATGAATTGAATCTCCATGTGTTGTCCTGGAGGCGTGGAGATGCCATATTCCTCGTGATTGTCTGTCATTTCTAATTAGCGAGCCTCAAGCTGAGCGAGAACATTGATTCACAATGCCTTTTGTTTGTGTGGGGGTTTCCATAGATGTATTTTAACATTTGCATGAACCTGCTTTATTTGCTGCTACTATCAACAGCATCAGTTGAGGAGGTTCATTAAAAATATCTCCATACATGAAATACTATAATGAGAGACTTACAGTAATGTCAAGACTAATGACGGTTGAAAATAGGAACTACCTTAAATAAGTAGATTTAGTTTGGGTTTTATGAACACTGACATTAATATACAAAGTGAGATGTTCTTCTTACCGAGGGTATAAAGTGTTTGTATCTGATGTGTTTGTCAGGGGCCCGTAACCAGCCGCTGGTGCAGCTCCAGAGAAAGTCTTTGCAGCTTCCTCCAAACTCTAACTACACTTCTCTGTCGGCCGCTCTGACCACCGCCAGGAGCCAGTACGAGATTGGGGGCTTCCCTTTCCTCCTGGGACAAGAGACCAACAGCTCAGGTCTGCATCTGCTCCAAGAAAATACAGAATATATTTTCAAAATGGCGTCTTTCTATATTTATTTCCGTAATTTCTACAGGACAGAATATATACGGCTGCTTTTGATTTACATACATTAACTTTGAGACAACCTGAATCTCATATCATACATAATGTAATTGTTCTATTCAAGCCATGTGTGCACAGACTTATAATTTGTCTTTCTGCGTCCTTGAAACATTGAAATGAGCCAAGTGGTCCTTTTTCATTTCAACTGTATGTGTAACTTTACAATGCAGTGTAGTTGATACTTTGATACACTAATGTACATATATCTTTATGGTGCTCTGTAACCTTAAACCTCGCTGTTGTGTCTAGGGGCAGAAACTGGCTGGACAGATTTGACGGCACTTGCAGTGGTCAGCATTGAGCTTCATGATAAAAATGGAAGTCCAATCCAGGTTTCAGATCCCATCCACCTGTCCATCCCACTCCCCTCGGACACTCACAACACCATGGCAACCAGTGTCCCAACGTGGCAGTTTCAGCCTAAAACGGGTACACTCAGTTGTCACTATTAATATTACATTATGTAGAAAATACAGCATTATTTCACAGATGTTATGTTTACAGGTCTGTGGGTGCGAAATGGGACTGGCTACATTAAAAAGGATGGCTCACAGTTTGTCTGGAACCTTGTGGTCCCTGGGATGGGATACTGGTTAGCTGCTTTCCCCACTTCTTCAGGTGACCATTTTATGACTCCTTATCACAGTATTCCCCTTGTGGTTCTGTCGGTAATTACAATATGCAGCACTCAAGCTTGACTTTATTACTGTCTTTAATTGTCAGGATTGGGATTCTCTTATCCTGGCCTGCGGGACATTACCACATACCACACCCTGTTCCTGTTGTCCATCCTGGGATCCCTGGCTCTGCTCGTGCTCATCCTGCTCTGTGTGCTGCTCTACTACTGCAGGTGTGTAGAGCAGGCCATTCTCACCAACCACACACTAACCGCTTCATCTATCAAACATCAAGTGATTAGCGCCTCCTATAATTGGAGCAAACTGATTTTTCTCCCTTAGAAATTAACCCAGTAAATTGCACATGAGCGCCTGAATATTACACAATTGTACTATAAATACGATAAATACACTATGCTGAGGGATGTACTTTAATAATAAACAAACATTTCCACTTGTATATTCAGATTCAGATTCATTTATTTGCCATTTGCAGTAAAACCACATTGGAAAACTGTGCAAGACTACCCCAGTGTGCACCAGACGACACACACCAGAGCTCTTGCCATATATAGACATCTTTAGATATATTCATCAGGTGTCTTACTGTACAATGTCATTTATTTTCCAGGAGGAAGTGTCTGAAGCCTCGGCGACAACAGGGCAAGCCCCATTCCTCCAATTTGAACAGTGCCAAGAGAGACCAGGGCACCTCCACATCTCGTTTAAATCTCATCTGTGGTGGCCATGTTGAATCCGGAGCAGCTAACGACAAATCTGAGTTATCCGAGTCCAGAGACTACCACAGCTCACGGGAAGACCTCACCAAACACGTCCCAGCCCACAAGTTGCGAAACTCAAAAGGCAAAAATGTTTCCAGCTCCCAAAGAGGTGAAAGTTTCCCCATGAAGGTAACCCGTGCCACGGAAACAAACAATCTGGACAACCCCTTGCTCCATGAAGACTACAACCGACACCATAATGCCAATGACAATCGCGGATACGCATCAGACCCTCCATCTCCACCTCGTTTCCAAGGTTACGTGCCAAATCAGACAGACAAACCTCCCGAATATTCAGCAGCAGCGGCAGACAGCCTCAACCGGCCCACCTCCCTCAACACGCAGCCAGGACAGATCATCTTCTGTAGCTCCATTGACCAAATGAAAGAGAATATGTACAGGAGTATGGTCCCCACTCTAGTCATCCCAGCCCACTACATGCGCCTGCCCTCGGAGTTCACAAATAAAGACGGGAAAGATCCGAAAGACCAAGACAAAGATTGTGGTCCGATGGGTCAACAGCACCATCACCAGGGGCAGAGGCAGGGCCAGCAGCAAGGTGGATCTCAGGGCGATGATATGGAAGATCCCAGCTGGGCGTCTGATTCGTCTGGAGGGCCGGTCACGATCCCTGTGCTCTTCAACGACTCGACCATGGCTCAAATGAACGTGGAAATGCAGGCGCTAACTGAGAAGAAACTGCTGGAGTTGGGTGTGAAGCAGCACCCACGGGCCTGGTTCATCTCCCTGGACGGACGCAACAACGCCCACGTGCGCCACTCCTACATAGATATCAGTAACGATCTCAGCGGGGGAGGATTTGGAGGTCCCAGTCACCTGCAAAGAGATCTCCACCTCGAACCGCATTTGGAAGAACGTAAACTGGGAGCCAATCGTAAAGGCAAAGACGACCGCTGGGGGTCTGCTCCACGCAAGGGCCACAGCGGCGCAAGCAGCGGGGGGAAGAACTACTCCAAACTGGCCTATCCGGACCACAGCGAGCCCAGCAGCAGCGAAGGACGTCCAGTGTCACCTGAGGAGAACTCGCTCACCCCTTTGCTGGACGAAGACCCGTCATCCCGCGGCTCCACCATCACCAGGAGGGGGCGCAGTCGAGTGAGCAGCAGCCGGAGCAGCAATAGCGAGAACAGACGCGATTCGATGACGAGCCCAGAGGACGATCCGGAGGACAAAGAGGAGAACAAGAAGAGTCCGTGGCAGAAGATCGAAGACAGGCCTCTGATGGTCTTCCACCCGAGGAAGTGAAGGGTGTATCAAAGTGACGCTGGACCTTAACCCAAAGGGAGCTTTCACCTGTCATACCAGAATGAGGCAACACAAAAGCACAACCATCACCACAGTCAATCACCAATGTGTTTCTGGTGATGTGCTTTTTCACGTTCTGTGTACTCTCATAGCCTCACTCTTTTCATTGGGTTTCAGTGAAGTTATCCAATGTAGACTTGACTATTGTGAATGAATGTTGTCTCCTTGGTATACCACTAAAACATGGTCTGAGCCTATGACTTTGGATATAGCCATTTTAGAGCAAAATACAAAAGCACTTACTAATGATTTGAGGGTTACAGAACTTTAAAAATCACTGACATTTTAACGTTATAATATGGTATGTTTAAACCGTAAATTTCTTCTATCTGTAAATGCAAGAATTATTTGAAATACAATCTAAATATGTGGGACACTAATATATTTGAAGAAAACTATTACCTAATTTATAGCTGTCTATGGATATTACAAATTGTTATGTGGTCTGCGTTTTGCTCCTTCAGGGATGAATTTTTTTCCCTTCTCTACTTTGTTCATATATACTTAAGTCATACATTAGCATTTCCTGTAAGTTATCTACCATTTTGCCAAAATGACTCTTTCTCCTGCCTTTCTCCTGAGATGTTTGGCCTCACAAACTTCCTCTTGAATTTTGTGTAAATACGATTTCTGATGTTTGGAGCGATTTTGATGAGCCAGGCGTATCACGTTAGCATGAATATGAATGTATGAAGAAGAAGGCACCAAAAGCCACCCACATTTCTCCAGGCTCCTGTGCTGCACAACCCTTAGATATTTGCCAAGAAAAGAATCGTAGAGTCCAACAAAATTTCACATCTCGTACTTGAAGACTTTTGATATCCTGCTGAGATTTACAGAGGTTGTTTTGTCGACAGGGCCTGCACCACTCCTTCCCTGAAAGTGCCTTCTTTCACGTAGGATTTACTGATAGGCATGCAGGTCCCTTTGCTGAGAATGCAGTTAGTAACACCTAGGCTTTTTAGGCGTCATCAACAATAAGCACACTGCATTATGGGAAAATATGGGGAGCATGCCTGCAAAACAAAAATCTCTTTTCATGATTAATAAGTCCTTCTTACGTTCTTGTATCCAACCTCTTTTTCACCAAACTTGTAAATGATTCAAACTTGAACTGTATGAAAATCTATGTGTAAACAATGTGCATGTACTGTAAAATGTAGAATAGGGTGTTTTTATTGTTTTTGTATTTTTTTAAACAATCGTAACGTTTTGGCACAGCATTTTTCATTTTTTGCGAAGAAACAATTGTTAGCCAAATATTGAAATATACACTGACTTTTCCTTTAACTCGATCCTAACAAAACCCACTTCCGGTCGTAAATGTTTACAATAATAACATACTGACCAACACGCTCCCGCAAGCATCACCACTGCCTGTGACACATCAGCCAATGGGAATGAATCAACTAGTAGCGGATGAAGCCGGGGGACTTTATTTGAAATGTGTTGAGAATGTTTCTTTTTACTTTGTGAGATTGAGGAACTTGGAAATCATAACAGCTGTAAAAAAAAGAAAAAAAAAAGTCACCGTTTGTCAAGTCAACATCTGCTTGCTCTCCATAAGCCTTGTCAGTAGCCCTCAAGATGAACTGAAAATGTGATTTCTGAAGTTTTCACGTGTCCATTTCTGTAAATGTACCACTTTTGTGCCAGACCTTGGCATCATAATGAGTTGTGCAATTGTGTCTTTCCTTGCCGGGGTTTGACTTCTATGAAAGGAGGACGTATGTCGTGAAGGCTGAGTTGTGTCATCTTCTGTACTTGAAGAAATTTACAGTTTTCTTCTGCATTTGGCTTGTGAAGATCCAGAGCAAAACAGTGCAGGTCTTCACGCTGTGCAGTGTGCCATTCCCTTCAAAACTCTGGTCAGATGTTTGCAAACTCTACACTGACTCTTTCTGTACATTAAAAACAATAGAAATAAAATGATTGTCACTGTGCTTTTTTTTAGTACATTAAAATACAGAAGCACCGTATATAGCTCACTAACTATACTATAACTACTAACTAATATATTAATTAATGCTATAACTGACGTAAAACACTGTCATCATCATAATCTATTTTATGTGCTAAATTATATTGTTATAAAAGTCATTGTTGTTTTATTTGATATATTAATTATTGGGTTATTTCTACTAATATCAAACACTATTATTTTAACAGGACAACACACCCAAAATAATGAATAAATTATTACAAACTGCATTTAGGCTCGGCTCCCAGAGCTCACGTGACCTGGCGTGTCACGTGATAAACTTGCGGAAGTACATTCTGCGGTGTTTATCTTGTCTATCTGCGTTTCACAGCCACAAAGAGCCCTTGATAGACAAAACTGGAACCGATTGAACCAGATACACAAGGTAAGAAGAGCGTGTCGTGGATATGAATGTGCGTGCAGAAATACAAAGCCTGCTCTGTTTGTTTACAGCCAAACATGCTAGCTGCTCAGTCTGTGGCTAAGCTAACAGTACTGCTATCAATACGATTTTATTATTGTTTATTATTACTTGAGCCTCCTTGTCTCTTTTTATCGTCATATATGAACCATACATATTCTAACTTGATTCTGTTTGTTGTAATTGTTGTATTAACTAATTTATGAATTATGTTTGTGTTGCCTCTGTGTCTCGCAGTCTCTGTCATGGTGTGATTTACTGTCTTGTTTGGCAGATTAAAGAACTGCCTTCTCCACTTTGGTCTTATTTGACGAGCACGTATCACCAGAATGTTTGCCAATTATGAGGACCAATGGTCTTGATGATCCACCAGGAAGTAGAAAATCCTGCTGTGCCCCTTTAAGAGAATTTGCGTCTGGATTCTTTCCTTGTCTCTCTCACAATGCCTGTAAGAATATCTTTGTGTACAGATGTTTGTATAAGATGCAAATAATTGTTTTATTAATCCACAGGACAAATTATTCAGTCACTGCAGCTCCAATAAATGACACCACTTTCACACATCCACATTATATTATCATGCACAAAAGTCTTGTTCCTCAGTGCATTTGTTCTGTAGTATTTTTAATCCTTCAGTTTTCAATCCTTTCAATTAGAAATAACATTGTAAAAAGAACTATGTTTAAATGTCAGTTTTATTTTAATGTTTCACTCTGTGTAATCACTATATAGAATTTGTATTTCTGAACTTGTACTGATCTTTTTATTCTTAAATGATTCACAATATTCTAACTTAGCTGATGCCTCTTTCACTTGTTAAACATAACGTGTGTTGTAAAATGAAGTTATTTCACAGGGTCAATTGAGCAAATAACACTGAACTTTTTAAATTATGATTTTCTCATTTAAATCTACCAATAATGAACAGCAGAGGATTTCAGTTTGACACAGTGGACACATCCTCAAACATAAATGAAAACATCAAAGTGTCTCTTGTGTTTCAGATGCTGCAGGTGTCGATCCTGTGCTTGGCTGTGAGCCTGAGCGCTGCCCTGGTCTGTCCAGACGGAGGCATGTGTGCAGAGAAGAACACTTGCTGCAAAAACACAGAGGGAAGCTACGGTTGCTGCCCACTTCCAAAAGTATTCTAATTGTTCATTTGTGATTGAAAAGTAGACTGGTAGTTTGAAATATATGTTATTCGTTATTTCTTTCAGGCTGAATGCTGTTCAGACCACCTCCACTGCTGTTATGAAGGAACCATTTGTGATCTGGTCCATCGCAAGTGTGTAAATAAAACTGTGTCCCTGCCATGGTTACTGCGTATTCCTACTACACAGGTCTGTATTGTCAGTCCTATCATTATATTTGTAAACTTTGCAATCACATACCTAGTGGAGATGGTGTTGATTGATATGAATGTGCTGTGGTGTTCCAAGCTGGAGGAGACTGTGAAGGCAGTGGATTGTCCTGACAAAGTGTCCGAGTGCCCGGATGACACCACCTGCTGTGAGCTGCCTGATGGCTCGTGGGGCTGCTGTCCACTGGTGAAGGTAACATTCAATACGTTTTCTGTTTGAGCCAAGATTTTCACTGCAAGAAATCCACAAAATCTGCTTTATCTTTGAATACAAGAAAAAATTGATAGAGAAAATAAATGTGTATTGTGCATTTCTATATATGGCTGTTTTTGATTTTGAGTTCTTGGCCATAGGCAGTCTGTTGTAAGGACAAGCAACACTGCTGCCCAGAAGGAAAACATTGTGATCTTGAGCACTCAACGTGTAACTCCCCCACATCAGAGCCCATTCCCATGCTCAAGAAAGTTCCTGCTAGAAGACGGCTGGAAACTGCAGGTGGGACCTGTCTCTTAGCAAAAATGCTAAAATGTTAATGATTGTAAAAGTAATTTCCTTTCTATTAGCTTATGTATTTCTCTCAAACTCTCTTAATACTTGTCAGATGATATGTATGACTACTTAATGTGTTCTTTTGCAGACGTGGGGGCAGTAACTTGTCCCGGAGGGAGAAGCAGCTGCCCAGATGATTACACCTGCTGCCTGCTTCCCACTGGAGACTATGGCTGCTGCCCATACCCAAATGTATTTCTCTCTACTATATCCCTCTTTTACTTGTATGTTAAATCTATGTACCTTTTGCAGTAAATGTAACGTTTAGATTCATTAAAGTGTACATTTACTGAATGTTTTCATGTTAAACATTTCCACTGGGCTTGTCGATTCCACACAGGCCATCTGCTGCAGTGATCATGAGCACTGTTGTCCCAGTAACTCGACCTGTGACCTGAAGAAGGAAATGTGCCGGTCTGGAGACGCACTGATGCCAATGTTGAGGAAGATTGCAGCTGCGTCTAATGACAGTGAGTGGGAATGATCCCTCACACATTCATTTATTGGGCTTTTGTCTGTGTGACGCTGCTTCTGTCGGCACTATAAATGTTTCATAGATCAGATTCTACTCATGCATGTGTGTTCTCTGACCATATAGTTCGGTGTCCAGACGACTCCACTTGTCCTGACAAAACAACATGCTGCAAGATGTACGCCGGAGATTATGGCTGCTGTCCCATGCCTGATGTACGTAAGGCTGTCATGCTCACACCAGGGTGGACAGATTTTCAGTATGAAATCTGATAAAACCACAAACAAGCAACCAAAACTATCCCAATACAGACGCAGCCATAGCCTGGCCTTAGCCATCCGTAAACTCTGGTCCATTATCATTTCCTACATGTACATCTGCGTCTGACCCTAGTGGCTGCTGTTACCTCGGTTGTATCACGTCTAAAAAGAGCTTTCAATTAACATAGAGAATAACGTATTTTTGATGTGCAAAAATCCAAAATAACTGCATAGACTAAGGCCCTGTCCACACGAAGTCAAGCTCAGGCCTAAACGCAAAAATACTTTATCAATCCAGTGTATCGTCCATACGAGGCCGGCGTTTTGGGGGGGTGTAAACGAACATTTTTGAAAGTAGGTCCCAGAGTGGAAAGATTTCAAAACTCCGTATATGCCGCTCCGTGGTTACTGCCTCTCCGCAATGTATCTGAGACGCTTGCGTCATCGCCCCGCCTCTTGTTAAAGCACGCATGCGCCGAACTCAGAAAATAATGACAACAACAATGTAGCTTGTTGGTTTTGTAATCCAGTGCGACCCGAAGCAACAGTTCAATCTCATCGTCCGTCCATACTAATGTAGTACCAGCTCGCCCACTCGCCATGTTGTCTGTTTACAACATTCTGCGCATGCCCAGTTCCCGTCACGGAAGTTTGGGCTTGATCCCGTCATTGCGTCACAGCGCCACCAACAGGTCTGGCATAGTTTCACAGCGTTTTCAGGCGTATTGACTACATTCATATGGACGCACACATTTACTGAGCTAACTCCGTGTTTACAGAAAAAGTTTCTGAAATTATAAGCGTTTTCTCTTCGTGTGGATATAGCCTAAGTAGACTTGTAAACTGTAGCTTTGTACCAACTGCACACATGTTTGCTGTGTCCTTTAGGCTGTATGCTGCGAAGACAAGCTCCACTGCTGTCCGTCGGGAGCGCGGTGTGACTTGGTTCGTTATATGTGTGTTGCATCTTTTTCCAACACGCCTATGGTCAGTAAAGTCCCAGCTCTCAGGAAAGAATCAGCAAAACTGCAAAAAGAAGGTTGGCATATTTAAAAAATTAATAAATAAAAAAAAACATAAAACCCATTCTACTGTTGGTTTCAGTGGGAACAGTTCAGTGTGACGGTTCAGCGGTCTGTGCTGATGGAACCACCTGCTGTAAATTGTTAACTGGGTCCTGGGCCTGTTGTCCACTTCCTGAGGTGAGTCCTGGGTTTTTCTGTTGACACGAGCAAGTTTACCGATTCGATATTAAGTTGTTTCATGAAAGGGTATTAATCCACTAGTAATGATTATGATAAAACACATGTATTGCTCTATTGTCTGGCCTAGTGAGTGTTTGCCAGTTCTACAATCATCATCCTTGTCATATTTTCTCACTAGCACACACATGGATGCTAGATAAATACTGTAATGCCTATGAAATTTCTCTTGTACATGATTTTTTTTGTCCTAATGATTGCGTGTGTCCTAATAATTCCAAAATCTCAGACTTCACACTCCTTTCCTTTATGGTTTCAATGGATTAGCCACTCTCACATGTGTTGCGTGTCATTGTCTTGACAGGCTGTTTGCTGTAAGGACCACCTGCACTGCTGTCCACATGGCACCGTGTGTAATTTGAAAGCCTCTACGTGTGACAGTGAGACAGGGAGTCCAGTCATGGCCCTGGTTGGCAAAGCTCCAGCAGAGGGCAGCGACAACACCAAATGTGACAAATCCACAAGATGTCCAGGGAAAGCGACATGCTGTAAAACTCCCACCGGAGACTGGGGCTGCTGTCCCCTGCCTGAGGTGACCCTTCAAATTAAATCTTTGTGTGCTCTTGCTATATCTATACTGGCCTGAATCCAACTGCCCTAAAACCCTGCCCTGCTCTCACATCAATTATTTTCACCACTCCAGGAATTTTCAGTTGTTCTTTGCATATCCAACCTTGATGTAATGTCACGTTCAACATATTTTATCTTCATTTTGTCAGTTGTGTAATTCAGAACAGTGAATAATGTTCTCCTCAGGCGGTTTGCTGTGATGACCACATTCACTGCTGTCCTCATGGGACAGTGTGTAACCTGGCCGCTCAGACCTGTGATGACCCTCTGGGAGTGAGTCCCTCTGTGTCCTGGGTAAAGAAGGTTCCGGCTGTGACCTCTGAAGTAGAAAAGGAGAAATGTGACACAGAAACCATGTGTCCTGGAGGAACTACCTGCTGCAAGAAGACTTCCGGACAGTGGGCCTGCTGCCCCCTGCCTCAGGTCAGACCTCACAGGGACCAGTACTTTGTTACTGAAAAGTCACCGATCAAAGATTGTCTTTATTTTGCTCAAACGTTGCTTGCAGGCCGTGTGCTGTAATGACCATGAGCACTGCTGCCCTAGAGGCTACAAGTGTAACGTGGAGGCGCAGACCTGTGATAAGCCGGGAGAGCTGAGCGTGCCATGGCTGCAGAAGATACCAGCTGTACAGAAGGAAAGCCTCCAGGTTCTGACTGTGTCTGCTCCGGCCCGGACCATGTGTGACCCCCACACCAGCTGCCCACGGGGCACTACCTGCTGCTTCATGAAGAACTCTCACAAATGGGGATGCTGTCCTGTCCCACAGGTCTGAGGATACGAAGTTGGTAATGCCATAATACCCTGTGGAAGTGTGTTTTTAAGGTCCCTGTCTTTTAGGCGATTTGCTGCAGTGATGGGGATCACTGTTGCCCTCGTGGCCACACTTGTGAATCGCACCGCTCCTCCTGCTCCAAAGGGCCACATGCGATCCCCTGGTTGACCAAACTGAGTGCCTTCAATGAGTCTGACTCTGCGGCTGATGTTAAGTGTGATGACAAGAGCAGCTGTGCCTCTGGAACCACCTGCTGTAAGCTCTCCACAGGAGACTGGGGCTGCTGTCCGCTAGTTAAGGTGACAGTCATTCAAACTAATATTTTCACTGTTTATGTAATTAAATATCTTTGTAAAAGTCGAAAGATTTTGAGCTTGAATTGACAAAGTCTTTCCCCTCAGGCTGTTTGCTGCGAGGACAAAGAGCACTGCTGCCCTCAAAGCTACACCTGTAACTTGCAAACAGCCACATGTGAGAAGTCCGACGACGGCTCCATCTCTGTTCCTCAGCTCAGAGTCGTGCCGCTGCAGCAGAGGACCTCAGAGGCCGAGGATGAGGAGACGCCATGTGACAGCAGCAGCCCCGTCCGCTGTCCCAAACGGGACACCTGCTGCCGGACCTCTGCTACCGAGTGGGCCTGCTGTCCCTCACCCGGGGTAAGCTAAAATGAGATTATAAATGAGTCTTTGGTCATTAGTTTTTGCCCACGGCATTGACAGAATTGTTTGTGCATTTTGTCTCCTTTTTCTCTCAGGCTGTTTGCTGCCCTGACCTGAAACACTGCTGTCCCGCTGGGTTCTCATGTGACCTGACCACGGGGGAGTGTCTACAGAACAAACTGCCGCCCTGGGACATTTTCCATCAGAATAGAAGAGACTTTGGCCGTCCAGGACTCTAACCCACAAGTAGCACACTGGCTCTTTGAACTTAGACTACAAGGAATCTTTGAATGCTTGTCGAGAAGGCTTTGTGACTCCATTTGCACTTGAGTTTTTTTGCAGTTTGATTTTGAAGATGGTATTATGGTATTTTATTAACATTATTCGGTAAATGGTCTGCTTTGATTGAATTATATTAGTTATCCGGCTTAATCATATGTTGCAAAAGGTTTAAAAAAAAAAAAAAAAACATCAGGATCTAGTTTGTCTCAAAAATTTTAATTTGGTACAGTTGTGATTCATATGTAAAAGGAAAGTTAATATTTTAGTTCTTGCAATGAGTATTTGTTCTTTTATGTTGAATACAATGTCATTTCATGGTGGTGTGGAAATGCTTCACCTGCTAGATTCAGGACAGCTTGTGCCTTTTTACTCATTCCTACATCTGTCCACATGGGATGCACTGTTTATGGATGGAGCTCTCATTGTTGTTGTTTTTTCAACTGGAGCCAAGTACACGTTTTAGTCACGAGAGGACAGAGGCTGGCAGTGAGAATGTAAAACTGAGGTATTGAAGACGTTTGAAAGAGCGCCAACCAAGACCGTCTTTAATGGAATACTTCAGTGACTTTGCCTTCTACCTCCGGGATCCACAATGCTATAATGAAACCATTGTTCTTGCTACTAGACTGCAAAATATCATCTATGAGTAGAACAGAATTTGTTCATGTATTGGGAATTTGATCTGCTGGTGCAACTTCTTAAAATACATAATTAAAGGAAATAATGAATTAGCTTCAAATCTGACTTTTTACTATCTAACATTGACACCACAAAATAAGGATGTAGCTAGTTCCCAACTCTCTTCTGTTTGGTTTTGTTACTATTTTTCATACATGTATTTGTTATCCCCGGTCACATCTTCAGATTCAGATGTATTTATGAAACAAAAACATTTAGGTACACCAGCTTTATTAACGTGAATATAAAACCCTCAAATCTAAACTCCTGAACAAGAATATTTGGTTAGAGTACTGTATTTTTCCTGTATTATTATTTGTTGAATTGCAATTGATCATCTGTCTCACTTTCCGTAGATTTTTACGCTAAAGGAGACGTCTGAAATATGAAATAAAGTTGTTTCAAAATTAGCCGGCTGTCATTGTTATGAATTGCTCCTCTGAGATCATCGCTGAGTTTCAGAGGTGAACCGCTTCCCCTGGATCCTGGTGCCCATATCCCGTTACTCTGCCCCCGCCTCTTTCCTCACGTCACGAGTCGTTATGACAACCAGAGTAAATAGTTGTTGGCAGTGGAGAAGCCACAGTGGGGGGGGGGGGTGGGTTGGTGTCACTTTTATCAGCCTGGCAAGTTTTCTGAAGCTTAAACAGAGGCATGGACAGGACCTGCTGCGCCCTCTGCTGGCTGTAAGACACCTGATGAAAACAATGATCTCTCTATTGGAAAGAGGTCAACTGCTCTTCTGCTGCAGGATTTATTCATTCTGTGGGTCTCAAACAGGGGGGAAAGTACCTGTGAAAATATTGATGTTTTCAGTGACTCTTTGGGACTTTGGCTTTAGTTTATACAACTTTTACAATGGTGTAAATCAGTAGTAGAGTGTGGAATCTGTGATTATTTGAAATTATTCTGTCAAGTTAGTCTCTTAATATATCTAATATATGTTGAATTTGTAATATGTACATTTTAGATTGCCAATATGTTCACCTTAGCTCTCATTGCTTTGTTTAAAAAATGTAATAACATAACAAAGTAGTCTACTCAAAACGTTCCTAAAGATTTTCATCTCTATCTATAGCCTTCTTCACCTCCCAACAACAAGAAGCGACAAAAGGCCTTTGACGTGTGTAAACTGCCTCTGCTCTTTTGGAGGCAGTTGATCCCATTCATTCAGATGTTGCCAGGGAGAGACACCACTGCCTTAAAGCCTCACCGCTCCCTCACACACCTCCTTCTGGTATTTTGCTAATTCCCTCTGGAACGTATGGGGTCGGGTCGTCTGTATGTGAGACAGCGGATGTGTGACGTCTGGAGGATGCAGCTGTGGGGTGGATCCTGTCGCTGGGGTAACAAGAGCGTGGGTAAACTTAACTTGTTTCCATATAGCTGCTGTTTACGGTTATATGCATCAATCCGGCTTAACATTTAGGCTATAGATTTAGAGGGGCTTTCAGCCACTTTCCAGGATTAATATCTGGCACTGTAGGTATACACTAGACAAGAAGTGACATTTACATAATACTATATCAGTGGTTCACAGCCCCCTCTACATAACAAAAGTGAAAGTAGCAATAATTTTAAGCATCAAGTCGTTCTGTGATGTTGTTTGTTTGTGTAATGTCTTATCCGACCAGATTTATCTTAAAATATAGTGTGTATTAATCAAAGACGTGACTAAACAGAATAAAATATCATTGCAATGCATCTCAAAATCATCCTGTTACCCCAGCTTTTTATCATTCACTACAGAGAGTGTCTTCACTACAATGATAATAATTGATAACGAGTCTAGCCCTCAAGAGGAAATATCATGGCTAAACCTATAGTGGGAATGTCCTGTTTCTGCATTTGGAGATTTAGATTAATATTCCTGAAATTAGTATTTAAAATCAAGATATTAGGATTTGCACTGGCAACCTGTTTAATATTGTGTTCTATTTTGAAAATATCCCCACAGCTGAGGTGTCAGTGGGGTCACACACAGTATCCATCCAAATATTTAGACATTGGAGGTCCGCATGGATATTGAGTGGGAGGGCTGAGGTGTCAGAGATCACAGCTGACCAATCACAACAGGGGTAAGTGAGCACTAAAAGCCGGTAGCTGCGACTCGGAAACGGACGTACACATGTAACAGTGCAGAGAGGAGCAACGTAAAGGTGTGCTGTGTCTTTGTACAGGACGTCCCGCTGTGATTCTACCCCTGAACCTCAAACAGAAGACTCGACTGGACTCTATTGGTAACAACACAACACAGCAGGTGCAGCCATTTGGTCAGCCTAAATATCTCCTGCTTTCAGAATCTACGAACAACTTTACTCGGACAAAACTTTTAGTTCTTTTCCATTATTGTTTTGGAAATGATGGAAAGCTGCTAGACTTGCATGTCCACAGTGTGTGCAGAGGTTAAGGTTGTAGATAAGAAGTGAACTTAGACAGTAGGTTCAGAGGCACTATTTACTGTTACATAGTTTAAACGGCTCATTTTTAAATCAATGTTTTATTTATTTTTTTGTACATGAACAAATAAACACACAAACACACCAGTCTAGGGCAAAAACAATCAAAACAACTTGGTTAACTTTTAGAATTGAAATCATTTCTGCTAATACACAAATATACACAAGTAGACCCATTATATACCCATTTCATTGTCTGTCTTGGGGAACGGGTCAAATACACAGACCTGTCCCAAAGTGTAGGAAGTGTGGGTGTTTTGATTCCTCCCTGACCAGCCCCTGTCATCATAACCGGTCTTGAAGCAGACTTGCTCTGACAGCTGGCCGGCCCACAGTGGAAGGCATGCGGCGGGTTCACGGCGTGCCAAGCCTCTGCTATTTATAGTCTCCACGCCAATGTCTCTCCATTGACACCCCGCCATGCCACATGCCAGAGCTGTTTAATTAACATGTGTTTAGTATTTTATGGACTGCCATTCTGCGGTGTTAAAAGTCAACTTTGATGGCAGATCTTTTACTATCCCCCACATTATGTCATTTATGGTTGGTGTTGTTGACAGGTGAACGCCGCAGGTTGGATCCCCTATTCACAATTATGTTTTTTATATTTTTTTTTTTACATTATCTCTAGAATTTTCTATTTTTTTTGGTTCCTCTCAATATGTCACACTTATTTACAAAATGTTGTCCTCTTACACATAACAGATCTCTGCCTACAATTCTACAGCATACATTTATATTGTATTTGATCAAATATTGGGGTTATGATACAGAATTTAAATTACAATTCAACACCTGAAGCCCAAAACACCTCTTCAATATACAATCTTTACATGTCTTGATCTCTTTTGCCTGTATTTCTGCTATGTTTGCAGATATTTCCCTAACTAGTATCTATTTTACAACATTATTTTTCAGTTATGGCGATACCTCAGCTGTTCACCGTTGTGTCTGAAGACGTGGAGCTGTCGTTCATGGGGAAGGAGGATGGTCAGGCCTGTGAGGAGAGCGGGTCTCTGGTCCAGGCCATTTCCCCACACCTGAGGAGAGTGATGCAGCAAGGCACCGCCAAACAAGTGGGTCCCAAGCTGTTTGAAGAGAACCCAGAGGTGTCCATCCTAGCACAAGCTGAGAGTAAGTCCGTGTGATCGTTAAAGTCAATGGGGGAGGGACAGTGCAAGTATTGAGATCTACATTCATTTATATACAAAAGTAGAATTAACTTGGTAAACGCAAACAATGACGGAATAGTAGTAAACATTTGCTGACATAATTATTACCACTCATGTCATTCATGGACTTTAACAAAGGCAGGGAGTTGACCCAAAACGGTGGAGAACAAAGCTGTTATTTGCGTTTAAGGAAATGCAGAGAGAATATTTTTGTGTCAAGAGGGAAGTCTGTTGAATATTGTATGAGTTCTTCTCTTTTATATTTCCTTGATAATATCATCATTGGACCCACGTAGAAGTTTAACTCACTTTCCTCTTCCATAGTGAGGCGCAGTTTGTCCTTGAGCTCGGACACAGATCTGGTCACTTCCTCAAAGCGGTCCTTGACACATAAAGTGTGGGCTTTGACTGGGACTGGCCCCTGTGAGATTGTGGGCAGAGCAGTGTGGAGCTGTAGAAAGCTGTTGTGGTCTTTGGTGAGAGACAGTGTGTCCAGGTCAGAGAGGCTCTTCTTAAGCTCCTGCAGCTCCTGCTTCACTTGGTATTGGACATTTTGGACTGGGCTCAGTGCTCTCTTCTCTTCAGTCTGGATCTGCTGCTCCACTATTTTGGCTCTTGTCTCCAGGAGAAGGATCATGTCTCTGAAGCTGTCTCTGCTGACCTGCAGTGCTGTGTGGGCAGCGGTCCTGATGTCCTGCTCCAGCTGTTGGAGTATGCTCATCTCTGTGTCTTTGTGCTTGAGGTTCCAGAGAAGCAGGCGTTTCTGGGCCCCCAGCTGTGCCTCCCTCTGGGCCCTCTCTGAGGCTGAGGACACAGTCTCATGGTCCCTGTGTTTCTCCAGACAGCAGACCAAACACAGGAGCTGCCTGTCGGTGCGGCAGAACATCTTCTTTAGCTCGTTGTGCTCAAAACAGATGTTTTCCTGGAGAGTGTGCGATGGCGCCACCAGCTGGTGTTTGTGAAAGGCTGCAACATCATAATGAGGCTGTAGGTGGCGCTCACAGTAGGAGACCCAGGAGACCATACACTGCAGACAGGACTGGACTGCTCTCAGTTTCCTGCCAGAACATACATCACAGGACACATCTTGAGGCCCAGCGTAGAGGTCAGCAGGGTCAGCAGGGTCAGCAGGGTCCGCAGGGGGCGCTGTTCTCATCTGCTCCACTACAGATGCTAACAGCAGGTTCTTCTTCAGCACAGGCCTGGGGGTAAAGCTCACACGACACAGGGGACAGGTGAAGAGCTGCTTGTCCTCCTCTTTGTCCCAGTGCTGCTGGACACACTTCAGGCAGTAGTTGTGTCCACAGTTAAGAGTAACTGGATCCTTCAGTAAATCCAAACACACAGAACACACAAAGGCCGAGTGCTGCTCTGCTTTCTGCGCCATTGCTGTTGCTCAAGAGTTTCACTTTGACACAACTGAAAGTTAGAAAGAGCAGAGGGAGTGGCAGGCTGCTTCCTGTATGTGTGTGTCTGTGTATCACGTGCCTGTGTGTGGTATACTAAATATAAAAGTTAAATATCATTAAATACCACAGAAACTTAATGATCTCTACTCTTAAGACCCCCATCTAATTTATGCTTGAACATGTAAAACTCATGGATAGAATCAGAAAAAATTCCAAACACTTATTTTTCAGCCAGTCAAATTATTAGTAATGCTGACGTGACTTTGAAATCGTAAAACAACAGATAAAACCCATAATTTGTGTGTGACTAAACAATTGCATTCATTTATTTAATTTCAGGTGAAGACTTCCAGGAGTTTAGCCCTACCCCTAATGCACAGTTGCCATACTTGAGGTCCCAGCTTCATAGAAAACACAGGTATTACACATTTTATTGGAAGTGACAGTGACCTCTTGTGGTGGTTGGGAATCTTTAGACACATGGGAACATCCTACATTTCCAGCATTGATCTGAATTCATGCTTTTCATTTTGACAGGTCATTTGCCAAGGGAACAGCTTTTCTCAGTGACACAGATGAGGAAGACGGAACAGAGCAACCTCATCACCTGCAGAAGAAACAACGTCGAAAGAGCCGCGTTAGACTCAGTGCGGAGGATGGAGAGGAGCGGCCGGTCATTCAGGGCCTTTGGGTGCAAGAAATCGACTGGCTCCGATCAACAAACAAAGAGATGAGCTCCTGTGACATTATCCCACCTCCTCCCCAGTTTACAGACTCTTACAATGGGGATCAAGTTTCTTCTTTATGCTGCAGCAGTGAGGACAAATTACAAGCTGTGTCCATTTCAGAGGACCAATACAGGTTAACGGAGAGCAGTTTAGACAGGGGAGACTCGGACTGGGACTTCGAGCAGGACTCTGAATCCAGTGATAGCGACTCTTCTTGTTGTGTGGAAGAGTGTGGACATTGCAGCAGAGGCATGCCAGACTCGGGCCTCAGCCTCATGGGCGTTTCCGGATTCGGTCGTGATCAAAGTTATTGCCCGTCCAGCTGTGAGAGTGTATCTGATTCCTCCAATCGTTTCTCTGGGTGTGCTCAAAGCCTGCTGGGAATGCTGGACCACACCTCCAGTGTAAACTTAAGCACAGATGAAATGGATAAAATGGAAGCTGTTTTGGAGGAGCTCAGAGGGAGGGTCTGTCACATACCCAAGATGTTTGCAACATTGTTCTTTGAGGATGTGATGAGGCAAAGTCTTCGAGAGTGGACCTTGAAATGCACCATTAATGAAGGACTTTTGTTTCATAATGTAAGAGAGTACATTAGTATAGTGTAGTTACATGGGTTAACTTTGGAATTGACTCTGCAATATTAATATGTCAATTCTTACATCTGTTTTATCATTACACTGCATTGTTTTGGCCTTGACATTTTTTGTTTTATTGATCATGGATTGGTTTGAGGTAGCACTTTTCACAGTCCACTATTCATTCACTTTTGACACAATGGTGATGATTAGCTCCGGCTGATTACACATTCAGGCAGTGGTCCAGTGGGCTGAGTATTTCCAGTTTACTCAACAAACCTCCCCTAGGGCCACGCTGCTCCTGTGTTTTTGGGAAAGACTCTTAACACTTTCCATTATAGTGGAAGTAGGAAAAGCTACACTGGTCAAAAATACATACATATAATAATTCTTTAAAGACAAATCTATTATTAAACTGGTGTGTCACTGTTGGTGATGTGAAAAGGAAAAACAGTACTTGCAGATGAAAAACGACCAGTTTTGGTAACATTGATAGCTCAGTGAATCACACATCCCATTGGGGAAATATGAAAGACAATTACTGTCACAAAAGACATAAATACACTTGATCTGATGTCATCCAATACAGATCACCTCTTCTCATCTGCCTTCTTCAGGCAATGCAGCCCAGGAGCTCCCAGTACAGAGAGGGCCGCGAGTATTGTGTTGTGCAACACATCCAGAACGGCTCGTACGGTGACGTCTTCTCTGTCCAAGACAAAAGGACTGGATTCACATGTGCAGCCAAGAGGGTGAGTCATGGTCTCCAAATGTGCACCACCCAAAGATGTCCCTTTTCCAAAGCTGTTGTTTTTATTTTTTATTGGTTTCAGATCCCGATCAGCCGGTTTAGCTGTGAGGAGGTTAGCACTTGGAGCGCTCAGGACTCCCCTCACATTGTAGAGCTGTTTGGGGCAGTGAGGGAGGGGCCCTACATTGTACTGTTCATGGACCTTAAACCAGGTAGCTTTCTTTAGATTTCTTGACTTGCACTTCTTTGTTGTTGAATATTTAATGACAGATATTTCCTTGTTTCATTTAGCTTGTTTAGGTACACTTCTGAAGGAGATGAACTCCCTACCTGAAGATCTAGCCCTGCATTATCTGCTTCAGATGTTAGAGGCGCTAGAACACCTGCACAGCCTCAATGTGGTACACCTGGATGTTAAAGGTATTTCAAATACTATTAATTTATGGTAGAACATAAACAATTCAGCCAAAATGCATTTGCTTGAAAGTATTGCTAAAACAAACTACCACCAAAACTTCAGCTTTTGCAAGGGATCAGAATAATAATATAAATATAAAATATGTGCACTATTCTCCAGCCATAGAAAACTGCAACTGAGTACATTTGACACAGTTCTGTCAATACTGTGTGAGATTTGAGCTTTAAGCGCTTAACTCTCACCCAGCCCACTGTGATTATTGGCTGCAGGCACGAAGGGGATCCCCTGATAAAGCCTTCAGCAGCTCCTCTGTCAACCATCATCCCCTCTGCTCCCTAATCCCAAACTGACACCTCAGCCCTAACCAGTCTAATCTGTGCTGAGAGGATTGTGAATGGGAGAAGAGTCGACAAAACCCATTGTCCACACCGCATGGACGGCCTCAGCCAACTACTGACTGGACAGTTGTTCTATATACTGTACATACTTCATTCCTCTCCCCTTTTATACTTTGAAAAACATTCCTATCAACGCTGTAACCATATTTATTTACTACAACAGCACTTACATTCAGTTCAATTCAATGTATTTTTGTGCAGTCCTAAATCATAACAGCAGTCATCTGTGAGAACTTTACAAACTGTATAGATCTGAAAGCCGAACAGCCATTATAACAGGAAGATGAGAGCCATTGGTCGATATGGGGCGGGATGACCAGTGTCCATAAATGTCCCAAATGTTCACTGTCCTTAGACTCTCCTGCAGCCTCAAGAAAGGGAAAAAAACAGTGAGAAACTCCGGGGAAGCCCACATTGAGAGAGGGATCCACTTTGACAGATGGACAGGCTGTAGAAACGGGACTGAGGCTGTTTGGCGCAGGACTTTGTTATAACAATGCAGAAAGGGCTTTGACATAATTAGTGGGTATAATTAACAAAACAAAAACGTGTTTTCTAGAATGTTTTCCCAAACCACATGCTCTTACTGACAAAAATAACACTTTTATTGGCACCCAAAGCAGTAGGAAGTGATTTGAAGCCAGTGCGTTTTTAAGGGATAACACTAACAGAAATCTTGACCCCAAATAAGATTCATTCCACGACAAATGTTTGCAATGTCAGCATTAGAAAAGACTCTAAACAGTGGTTCAGGTTTGGTTTAAGCCTACAGCCAGTTTCCATGGGCTGTGCTTTAGTTTGTGTTACCATTTAAACCACCTTGGAGGCAGATGAGGCAGAAACCACATGCCATTACGGCCTAGTCTGACGGTCTTCCTCATTTCTCACTCTACCGTGTTGTAATGAGCTTCAAATGAAAACATGCTGTCGTCCTGAATCCTGTGTGTTGATTTTATTCCAGTTGACAATGTGCTGCTGTCTGCGGACTGCACACACACGTTCCTCTGCGACTTTGGACTTTCTGAAACATTAGATGACAATGGCTGGAGCACCAAGACATTCAGGGGTGAGTATAGTGCAGCAGTCACACCGTCATGTAGATAATATGTTCTGTATATTGACAGACACAGCCCAACGTATCATTGCACATAAGGTTTACAGTAGACAGAACGGCCCATCTCACACCAAATGGCACCTATGATTTAATGTATTTAACTTGATATCGTATTACTTACTACTGCTTCATAATTGGTCATATGATTCATTTAGAGGTACAAGGCATGCAATTTGATCCCACACATTAAACATTATCCCTGGTACAAAATGACAGAATTGAGGCAGACGAGCAGGTGGTCGTGCCCGGCAGGTTGCATGTGAATCTACATCTCTGGCCCAATCCTCTGGTGTAAAGTTAATGAACAAAACCAATGGTTGTTTGTGCAGCTGCATTGCCATTGTTCATTGTCTACTTCAGCTCCAAATGAAGCCAAAGGGGAGAGAGTTAAATGCTGAAATGTAACAAACGTTTTCTTGTTTTAACTGATAATTATTCAAAAGCTAGATTTGAGCGTTGATCACATTTGTGAGTCCTGGCGATGTTCATTTGCAGTGTTACTTCCGTAAGTAAGTAAGTAAGTAAGTAAGTAAGCTTTATTTATATACCGCCTTTCACAGACCAGAGTCACAAAGCGGTTTACAATTGTTATTTTATGGGCACTTGTCTCTCACTCCACACAGAGATGGGAGCGGGGTCGCCGAACAGGAGGCGCATGCCAGAACTATTGTACATATTTTTAGTGGTAGGGGAAACCGGAGTACCCGGAGGAAACCTACGCAGACACGGGGAGAACATGCAAACTCCACTCAGAAAGGCCCTGGTCCGGCCGGGATTCGAACCCAGGACCTTCTTGCTGAGAGGCGAGAGTGCTATCCACTCAGCCACCGTGCCGCCCTAGTAGTTCCGTAGTTCAGGGCAGCTGTGGCTACAATACTAGTGTGTAGAGTGCTTGCTTACATTATTCATTTCACTCAACAATGTCTGTGAAAACTGCTGTAAAATGGATTTAATTTCATGCACTGACTGTTTTCCATTCACAGGCTCTGCTTTCCCAGGCACAGAGACACACATGGCTCCAGAGGTTGCACAGGGAGAGCAGCTTAGTACCAAAGCAGATGTTTGGAGCAGCTGCTGCATGTTACTGCACATGCTCAATGGATGTCAGCCTTGGATCCGCTACTACTCCCACCCTCTGTGCTTACAGGTGCACCACACAGTCTCACCTTTCTCTGAGGGACATTAGACATCAAGGATTGTTGTAAAATGACAACTGACAAACTCTGACAAAACCAAAAAAGTAAAAGAATAGATCCTCAAATATGACAACCGCGTCACCATAGGACTGGTACAACGCAAGATCATTGTCATTGTTCAAACACATTATACATTTTTTTCCATTCCTGATTTGTTTGTAATATTACAGATTGTCAATGAGCCTCCACCGCTATGGGAAGTACCATCCAACTGTAATAACTTCACAGCCAAAGTGTTCAGAGCTGGGCTGAAGAAGGATCCTGATAAGCGGGCTTCTGCAAAGTCTCTGCGCAAGAAAACCACCAAGGCTTTAAGAGCAGGTACCCGAAGAAAGAGGCATATACAAGCAAATGTATAAATATATATGCTAAAACACTTAGAAGTGTGTCTAATAAATTCAAATTGTTCTATTCTACAGTTGGAGGCTTGAGTTCCTGGTCTATCAAAATTGCGTGTGAAAAGCTATATTCTCCCAAAAGGCAAAAGGATGACAATCCAAGCTCTCAGCTGCATGAAAGCAGGAAGTGCAAAGCTCCGTTATTAACCAATATGCACTGGGTAAGCCCCTGGAGAGCACTCGCAGCTGATGAAGACAGTGATGGCAGCCATTGGGAGCAAACATCAGACCAAGACTGTGACGTTGAACCAAAATCATTAAGAGACAATTATCTGGATGAGAATGAATGGGATACAACTTCTGAGTTATCGGACGTGGACATTTACATAGGAGAGGAGGAATACACTGAAGAGAAAGGGGTCAAATCTGACAGAGACTATGAAGGAGATTGGGAGGAAGATGAGGATGAAGAGTTTTCAACAGAGTATTTTCGTGGCCTCAAAGATATCTTTCCTGTTCTACAAAAAGGACAGACACAAGAAGATTGGTGGGGATCTGAAGAAGAGCTGGAGTACCTCAGAGACGGTGAGCTGGGAAAGTAGTCCAAGTAGTCCTAGAAAGTAGCCCCATGGTAGTAAAAGTATTTTAATTGTTAGTCTTTTTAGATCAAATAAATTAACAAATGTGAAAGTAAAGTCACCTCATACATTAAATGACTTTTTTCCGCGGAGTAGAAAATGGATGGATGGTTAAACAGTTTTTTTCTTTCTAGGTGTCTCTTTAGGGAACACGGGCCAGCCTCCTTCTCCTGAGCCCAGAGATGACCCTCCATCTTGCTTTAGCTGCTCCGACTCCTCACAGATAGATGCCTCTGACAATGTTTGTATTTTTGAGTGCACATTTTCAACATATACAGAGAAATTCATCTAAACACCTGTGTCTTAATAGGACACGGATCGATCATCTGATGACCTCAGCTCTGGAGTATTTTCTTCCAGTAACAGCCAGGCAGACGAATACCTGGAGTGGACAGTTTCACCTCATTCACGCTCATCATATTGTTTTGAAGGTATCTTGATCGGATTGGTCTGTGTTGAGTTCTCTGTTTAATTTTAAAATGTAAATCATTTATAGGTGTTGACATCTGGATTGAGGATATTCAAGGACAATGTCTTAGAATCCACGAACAGCGACAGGTCAAAGTGGGCCACGTAGCAATTGGAATAAGTAATCAGGTAGTACTCAAAATATATCTTTTAGTTAGACTATATGCCACAAACTATGCACCTTAAGTAATGTGTATTCCCTTTAGATTTCAGAGGAGGCCTTCACTTTGGAGACACTGGACAGAAAATTGGTTTCATTTGAACAAGAGATTAAAGCATCAGGTTTATGGCTGCGCTGTGTTCCTGCCCCCAACAAATGTCATCGCTGGAGATGGCGAGTCACAAATGGAAAACTTGAACTACGGCAGTAATAATGACCTGATATTGTGATGATTATAGTTGTGTCAATAATTGCACTTGTTGTATCTATTGTTTTATCTATTTGTTATTTGGGCACCTTTTATGTTTACATATGCCTCCATTATACATGTATTTTTTAATGTGTGTATGATATATATATACACATAAATATTACATACATGTATGTATGTAATACTTATGTATGTTACTTACATGTGTTTATATATTATATAAATATATATATGGCCAGTTTCTATATTCCATTAATATTTTTTGTAATAAATTATCTAATATTTTACGTTTCTCCTCATTTTCCTTTTGCATAATGTACATATCTAACACACAAAAAAATTATTTAAAAGAAGGCTGTGTCAACTTGTCCCTATACTCATATAATCCCCAAAATTAAAATCCATGCCATTTAATTTCACAAGAAAATAGTCAAAAAACCCATGTGACTAGTCACATGTTAAATATGACACATCACATCACATGATTGAATACGTATAGATTTAAATGATACCAAAGAAATCCAATTATTTAAAATAAGGGTGCTGTGCCTAAACTACTTTGATAACCTTCAAGCATCTGAATTGCTACATATTGCCAGTGACAGTTACATAAAATGACAAGATTACAGATATAAAAGCTGAACTTGAAATGTGTTTTAAGTACCATTTATATGTAATTTAAGTAAAAGAGGTTCGTCGGTTATAATATTAGTTTAGTTTGTTTTTTAGTGTATATCCATGGTAATGTCATGATCCGTGTGCACTACCATTGCTCGTTTTATGACATTGGTCATGAGGTCTCTTTGGTTTAAAGGTTTGGTACTGGTTAACTTCACAGCTCTTGCACAGAGCTCGAAATGCACAGTTGTTTACCACTTCAGCTGAAACTTGAATAAACTTGTTACTTCCTCGACATTTTGTGCAATGTGTAACCCGGAACTAGCTGGAGCTATGATTGGTAGAGAGTGAGGAGGAGGCGGGACCTTGTTGCCCTACAGCGCTGCTGATTGGACCGGTGCTGAAAGTGGGAAGTTCCTGTGCGCCGGTGTCTCCCTGGATGCGCAAGACGCCATTTTGGAGAGACAGTGTAAGATAACGGAAAGATCGAGAAGCTGCCTTTTCTAGAGGTAATAATCGACACTATCGCTTGTATTCTTGCTGGTTTATGACCAAGTCCGTCTGAAGGTCCCTCTCCAACCGTGAGGTCTCTTGAGCCGCACACCGCACCACATTTTGGCCTGTATACTGTGACGCGGCATTCGGCTAATGCTAGCGGCGTTAGCAGGTGGCTACAGCAGCTCCCGTGTAATGATCAGATCAACTCTCTGGGTTTAAAGTAGCCTGGTTCTAGTATGCCTCCTTTACCATCCGTTTATACACGTGTGATTATTTAACGTTAACGGTCAATCGAGTCGACTAAAGGCCGTGAGTGTTTTTTAACAGCGGTGTTCTGTTGTAAGCTAACCCGAGTCTGGCCGAGGCATCCGCCCTGTAGCCTCGGCTAAACATTAGCTGTAGTAGAAGCTAGTTAATGCTAAGACGATCTACTCGAGCCTTTGAATGAAACCAAGCTATGTATGTGTTCATATTTTACACCGCAGTCGGTTGTCTTGGATGATTTGCTCGGTCTGGGTTTCTTATCATGAGTATCTATTGACTAGTGTTGACTTTTGGACGACAGGCTCACGACAGGAATTTGCAGCTGGAAAAGGCCCACCTTATCGGCTGATCGCTGATTCACTTGTCCTGGCGAGCTCAATATTCTGCAAACTATGTGTGATAAGGCTCAGAATAGCCTGGGTCGGTTCGTCTCTGTAGTGAATGTAATGGATTGATAATGGACTGGCAGTATTGTATTTTAAAGATGCCATCGTGTGTCCAAACACAACACGTATAATATTTATTTGTTTAACGTAAATTCCGAATATACCTGACTGCTCTTGTCTTTTACAGCTTCGTCACCATGGGGAATGTATTTGCGAGTTTATTCAAGGGCCTCTTCGGCAAAAAGGAGATGAGAATTCTTATGGTGGGACTTGATGCTGCTGGAAAAACAACCATCTTGTATAAACTCAAACTCGGAGAGATAGTCACCACCATTCCCACCATCGGTATGGATCCTTGGCTTGCTCTGTTTGCTTTTCACCTCCATTTAGGCTCTTGTTCTTCCGAGGTCCTTTACAGTTCCATATCTGTTCACATCTCCAGACCAGCTGAACCAGTACACATCTCTCATTTTGTTAATGTTGGGACTCTTCTGTTTCTTTCTAGGTTTTAATGTTGAAACTGTAGAATACAAGAACATCAGCTTCACAGTGTGGGATGTAGGCGGTCAGGACAAAATCAGGCCACTGTGGCGCCACTACTTCCAGAACACTCAAGGTGAGGAGGACTTTTTGTCTCTTACTAAACGTTTCATAATAATAATTTATTTATGTTCCTAATATATATATATTTACATTATCGAAGCAGGTGTAGCAGTGAAATGTTGATCCGTTTTAAACCCTTTTGTAGTTACTCAAATGACAAATGACACTTTGTTTGATTTGTGAGTTGATGATGGGAGCTTCATCATCTTTCCGCTGTCATCTCACAGATTCTAGGGCTGTCAATCTTAATTCGTTTTGGTCGATATCATTTGTAGCAAATTTACGTTTTATTAGTCGACTAATATTTTCATTTTCATGGGAAATGCCAAAACTGGGCAAATTAAAGCTACTTAGTGTTTGCTTTGCGATTGAATCCAGATCAAACATTTTGATTTAATTGTATGTATACTTGTTTATTTTACCGCTTTGGTTTTGGGAGTAACATTTTAAAGTTTTGAGAGATTTAGTCACTCCCCCTTTTATGTCGACTAATTAAAAAACAGGACAGATCTTTTTTCGACCAAGAAGGACTTAATTTAATCTGTAATGGATTATTTTTTTTCAATAACTAACAAAGCCTTGTCTTGTGTTAAATGACTAAATGTATATATTTTTTTCAGGGCTTATTTTTGTTGTGGACAGCAACGACAGAGAGAGGGTAAACGAGGCACGGGAAGAGCTGTCCAGAATGCTTTCTGAAGATGAGCTCAGAGAGGCCGTGCTGCTTGTTTTTGCTAATAAACAGGTGATCTAAGTTCAGCACTAATATTTAGAACTCCTTTGCTTTTAAAATGGCAAGTTATTCACATGTTTCTGTTTCTAGGATCTACCCAACGCTATGAACGCTGCAGAGATCACAGACAAGCTGGGTTTGCATTCACTTCGTCACCGCAACTGGTACATCCAGGCCACCTGCGCCACCAGTGGAGACGGCTTATATGAGGGCCTGGACTGGCTCTCCAACCAGCTGAAGAACTCCCCGAAATGATCCATTCCACCTGTTTTTGATTTATTATTTTATGTTTGTTGTTTATTTTTCTGTTTCAACACAGTGGCAGCACCGGATTAAGGCCCCTTCTCCCAAAACCATCTGCCCAACTTTGAACGCCCGCCCTTTTTTCTTTTGAGAACATCTTTCATTCCCCACCGACTTTTTCCCGCTTCCTCCCATTGTCAGTGCTCCCGGGGCTCTAGCCTGTGCTGCTCGTGTGTGCGTGGGTGTGCGTGTGTGTACCTAGTGTGTCCAGCGAGTGCGTGTGGGTGTGAAGGCGTCTCTGTGTACGTTGGCTGGGATTGGGAGTAACCCTGGCGTGCCTTTTACACACCTCCTGTGGAATCAGCAGTCCGGTTTCTCAAGCCCCTCATCGTCCTACCACCATACTGTCTACCCCCACTTCCAGTCTTGCACGAGCCCCTTCTCCCCACCCTTACTCTGCAGAGAAAAGCATGGTTTTCATAAGGCTAAGAACGAGCAAGGGTGCAAGCTCTCCTCCCGCTGTAGGGTACTCTTTAGAAACGTTCACCAGATCGTGAATAACCGCTAGTTCAATTTAACTTTTGATTTCCAAACCTTGTTAGCCCACCACTAAGTGATTTAAGTAAATTGCATCTTAACCTGTATCAGGTCAAAGCAAATCACAGAACGCCCATCCTCGTTCATTCTGCTGTCCTGTGAAAATCATGCTCTTTGTTTTTATTATTATATTGGAATATAACAGATTATTCTTAGCAAATGGTTCTTGGATGAACACTACCTTTCTCCCCACGAAGTCGGACCGTGAAGCACAAGGCAAGGAAACAATCTCTGTTGAACTGAAGAGAATAAAAAAACTGCTTTAAAACTAGATGTATGCAGTTCAGTGACTTAAACAAATCCCCTAATTTTAATTGGATTCAGAAAAAAGACCCTTTACGTTCAAAGTAACAGTTCTCAATTGGTCAGTAAAGGTCTTGGGCATTTCACTCCCTTTCTGCTGTTCAGGTGGTGGCAGGTGTCCAACATTCACAAGCTTCACAGTATATTCCTTTAAACAATGTTACATATGTTTTATTTTCTGTAACTAGTTTTAGCATCTTTCTATCTGTATAGTGACTGCTGAACCAAATGCATTTGAGCAGTATGACAAATCTTAAGTGAAAGTTGTGCATTTGAGGGCCTATTGTCATAACAGTTTTACATTGACCTGAGAACCAGAAAGCATCCAGTAGTCTCATTTCCTGTTTGGGATGAAGGATGGCACCACAAATGAAGGCGCAATAACTGTGAATTGGCCAGATGACTGAAAGGGGGAAACTTGGTCCGGGTGTTTGCATTTTTCATGACTGATTACTTAACCAACACGACATCTCTGCAGTCCCTCGACAGGCAAATGGAGGAACTGGTGTCTCTTTGTGAGGACGTGCAGGCTAAACTGGTTTTGAGATTTCAGGCATCCTGTGTTGAACCGATTGGGGGGGTAAAGCTGGCACTTCTGTCAAAAGGATGATTGTAAATCTGTAAGTACCCTGTAAACTGTTTCTGTGGGGATATCCTGAACACATTAATAAACACAATTTGACCCAAAACTCTGCATATATTTTTTTAAAAATTATTAATTACATGCAATGATTTACAGCACACTTCAAAATGTTAAATCATTGATACCTGTCGTTGACCAGAACGCTAAGGTAATATGTGTGAGGGGCTAAACACTGCTTATTCTGTAGATAATAAGCAGGAAACTGAAACTGGTTATTCTGTAAATAAGTTACTTTGCCTACTCGGGTTTAAAATGTAACTACACTGGGGAGTTTTTGTCAAATATGACTGCGGCCGCTAGGTGACGACAAATCCCACTGAACAATCTTACCAGCAAAGTGGGTCGAATAAAATGAGGACAAGACCATAGACTGACAAGACACAAGTAGATAACATTAGAAACGTGGATACCAATACCATGTGTGTTTTCTGTTATTTTATGTGATTTCTTTCGTTACAATTAGCAACCATTTCGAGCCTTTGGTGCTCAACAGATAACAGCAAAATGATCTAATGTTATGTATCTAGCCTGCCTCCTATTGGCTGAGCCCGGTCTGATCTGTGCTGTGGCAGCTGCTTCATCAGTCTGACTCACGGTGATACACAAACAAAAAATGGTACCCAGCTTTCAACAACAAACAAACCAAACTCACTCGGTTTTAAATTGTAACTGAATGCTCTGAAGTGACTAGACAACTCTTGAGTTTTGCATCAGCCTCGGGTCAGTGAGTCTGAAGTAATCAACAGGAAATGGAGTAATTTGTAGTGACGTAAACGTGGAGGGCGGGGCCACCTGACGCACCTGATTGGCTGGCTCCGCCCACACCGACTCAAACTCTGCCGCTGCGTGACTCCTGGGGTTAACATGGTGTAAAGTAGCGTTCAGATTTCAGTCTGATTACAACTGAAATCAGAGCGGGATTACCAGAGGAGAGAGCTGAGCCTGTACTGACACTTCTAGTTATAATAGTTTTCCATTCCTTTGAAGAAAGTCTGTCAGTGTGGGACAGGTGTGGGAAAGAGCAGAACGTAAGTACATGTTTCTGTCCTGTTTTAGAATGTGTGGGAGTACAGTTGTTTTAAGTCCAGGTTGTTTGCTTCTCATTCGCAGGGTTAGGGTTAGAGATTCAGTCATGAATATTTCCATGCAAAAGTTACGTTTACTCTCATCACTTTTACAATGTTCTGTTTTTTGTGTCACCTAATATGCACAACAGATTGTAAACTATCCCCATAAGTATAAGAATAAGAAAATAGTTGTATTAGTAGTCATGATGATCATTGCAGACATGAGTTGCTGCTGCAGCCCTGTGACTAGAGTTTCACTGATCAGCTATTGTTGTGGTTGGTTGTTGCAGCAACAGAAGAGAAGGTGCAGTCTCTTTGTATTTGCTATTATCCACGAGAGAAGATGTCATTCACCTGCTACTGTTGTGGATTATTGGTGGGTGCATTGTCGTTGTATGGTATATGCAAATCAAGAACTGTTCAGGCATGAATGAGGGAAGGATGAGGAGAGAAAAGTGCCATCCAAGAAACCTCCATGTCTGATCAAAGAGCTTCTGTGTGGAGTTGTTATCTTACCTGCTGCATGATCTGCATAATGATAACACAACACAAACCGAAAGCTCATTTCATGGTAGTGAAAGGAAATAAAGCATGCAAATAGGTAGGACGACAGGACAAATACGTGAAATTAAGACAATACAAGCTTCTTCAAAACTGTTTGTTGCAGAGGATTGATTGTTGACATGTTGATTCAGAAGAGAAGGATTCAAAATACAAATTATTCTATACCTGCCCTTTGACACCCTACTGCTACTACCTTTTATTTTTGGCTGCACTTTTTGAGCCTTCGCAAAGTGTAATTGAATTGTCTCACTTTTTTCATGTTTTTGTTTTAGTCAAAAGAAGATGTGTGAAATGTTTCATTAAACTCTGTTTGAGTTTACGGTGAAAAAAACGCACTATTGTTTATGGAACAACAGGCTGAGGAAGCCAGGGTTCGGGTAAACGTGCAAATCCACTTAGAAAGTTTGTAAATTTTTTAGTTAAATATATCACATATTGACCTTTATTTAATGCAGCAACTATATTCGTATGTGTAATTTAAAAACTAAAAATCTAATCAGTTCCTATCATCACCCGCTGGTCTCAGTGCCAGCCACCCTCGACCATTAAACTTACAATAGAGGCAAAAAATCAGACAAGAAGCCAACAAGAACACACCGTTGTTGGGTGTTGCAGGGGTGAAATGGTCTTTTAAAATATTCTTTTAAATAAAATGTATAAATATCTGTAGTCTTCGCCCGGCTGTTCTGAATGTGCTCATACTCGACTGGAAAGTGCCCCCCGGGAGAACATCTTTCGGACAGTATGTCTTTTCTGACCAGGGGCAAAGTACTGAGGTCAAACTGAACTTGGACTGGACGAGTTTTAAGCATGAACAGAAGCAATTTTTCAAAAAAGCCACATGGTCACTTGGAGGACATTTTTCCTTTTGTATCAAATAAGTCCCCCATATTTATTTGATAATAAATAAGATCCCCTTCATTACTTTTCATATTGTGGACTGTTTGAAGACAGCGCTGGTTGGACCCTTCCCTGCTCATCCCTGCAGCTTCCTGATTGGTCGAAATAAATGTTCTGAACTGCTTTTTTTTAAACTGCTTTTTAACGTTGTCAATGTGAAGCACTTTTAAATGATGTGCTATAGAAATACATTTAGATTTGATTGATTGAAGCCTCATCATTGGTTTAACTGTTCTCGTTCAGCAAAGGTCCTATGGTCAAAAATATACTTAATTCTTATTTAAGTTTCTGACATCACCTTTAACCTTCCAATGATGGTGGTGGTGTTTGCTCCTCCATGCGTTTTAGAATAAGGAAAAGGAGGACGCAAACCCTTCCATGTGGCATTAATAACATTGAGTGGCAAATGGAATGTGTTTTGATTATGAGTTCTTACGTTTGCTTGTTGTTTTTGGTTTTTGTGACGTGTCTATTTTGAGTTCGAAGAGAGTGACTCGTCCTCTGTCGCTTCTACTATTGTCTGGTAATGTTTTTATTTTTTTTAATTCATGTTTTCTTATAGCATTGTCGTTGTGCCACAAACCGGTCACACAAGAAACACCGTCTTCGTGTCATTGAGTACATCTTTAACAGAAATGAAAAACAATATTAATTCTTCAGGCATATAGTTTTGTGGATAGTTTTACGCCGACCTAAAACGGCATATTTTCAGCTTTTTTAACATATTGTTGATAGATTTCTATGTTTTTATACTGAGGCTACATGTCATAAAAAATACTTTCATATCAAGATGTACTTTTTTTATTGACGCACTTAAACATACGTACTGGAGGTTTAATTCTATATACTATTATTATTATTATTATTTAATGCATCTCTGAGGGTTTAGACACTTAAAGCTGGGGTCCCTAACTTTTTATTATATCCTAACTAATACATGTCCCAACAGAGAATCAGACACATTTTGTGAACAAATCAAACCATCACATTATTATAAATCAGCTTATCTTTTGAAAATTGTGAGCCCTGTGGAGTCACTATTTGACTCTTGGAGCTCAGAGCTGATTGGTTGACTGAGGGTGGTCCTCTCTTTTTCACTGTTCTGTCTGAAAAAGCTGACCTAAAGATGTTTGACAAAGGCCAAAAATACATGCATGTGAAAACTAGTGATCAAACCAAACTGGTTTGAGAATAAAAAACTAGTCTTGTCATTTTTTTAACTTTGAAGGTACTCTGTGTAATTTTTACAGTTGCTCCGAATGAAAAAAACATCTTCACTAGTAACAAATGTGACCATTTTAAGAATATTTACCACCATCATGTTTTTGAATTGTTTTCATACAGACTTAGAATTTGACTTATAAATGTACATAAGGCTGGAGGACTCTCTGTTTCAATGCTCCATCTTACACAGTACAGTGGTTGATAAGGGACAAAAAGGAGTTTGAGCGGGAGTTGGGGACCACAGTCAAAGACCACATATTGTTCTGTGAAGCTACCGTAGTACCATAGATTACAATATATTATCTCAATGCTAGATGGTGGGGTAAAAACTACACAGTGTGCCTTTAAGCTACTAGCTATTTAGCAGTTTGAAAGTAAGACACTGTCACTAACGACTTTTTTCCCGTCCTATCCCTCAGACTGTGCCCATTGCCGTGGCCTGGTCCCTGAGCTGCTGTCATGATGGAGGTTGCAGAACCGTGGAACGAGGTGTTTGAAGGCTCCGACATGAACGCGTCCCCAGAGGAAGAGTGTTTTCTGAGAGGCTCCTCGCTGACTCTGGCCCCTCTTGTTCCTCCTGAGGCCGCCTCAGTGCACCGCCGCTCACAGCCCATCCTCATCACTGCCAGCAGGTACAAACAGCCGCTGTATCGATCTGCTGTTTTGGGTTCAACGCGGCTGTGCAGTTCTTTCAGCAGTTTCTTTTGGTTTAATGTACGGATAAACTTGAGCTGAAAGTCTTCAGGTAATTGTCAGTGTGTGAAGCCATGAAAACAGAAAAATTAAGACAGATATGGTTTGTTTTTAGGTTTTAGTCTAGATTAAGGGTTAAATTAGCTCACTAAAGGAAAATGAAAGAAATGATAAAAATATATTACCTTTTATTCTTCATGCTTTTAAAAATGTAGTTCCTTTTTGGTTTGAATCAGCAGCAATTAGGAACTTTTTTAATTTATTAAATCAATACTGTTTTTAAATTGTCTGTTTTTAAGGGACATTTGTTTACCTAATGATTCTTGGACCATAATTTCACCTCAAATTAAATAATTGTTCCAATTCTTTGGCAAGGCATTTGAATACAATTTCTGAAAAGGCTGCACTTAATGACATGATCTAAACACATTCATATAAAATGTATATATATATATATATATATATATATATATATATATATATATATATATATATATAAATATAAATGTCTCTGGATCCAAAGAGCGAGTTACTCACACTACAGTTCATTTCCAGGACATGAGTCATTAGCATGCTAGTGGCTGTTTACTCTGGTGACTCAAGAGCAGTCATCAGTGTGTGGAGACGATGAGACACTTTTTATTGTGTTAAAACAGGGATTGTGCGGCGAGTGGGAGGACGGACGGCCGGTTTCGTTTCCTTGTTTTGCTGTAGTAAGATTCTGCCTCTGACCTTTATTGATAAACTCTTACGACAAAGCCTTTTATGACCTCGCCTTGACACAAAAACACTCTCGTAAAGCTCAGGTGCCATTTTATCACAGGAGGTCACATTTTAAGTCAAACTACATGTCGTGATAACGCAGTTCGATAAGAAAAGTTTGAATCAAGTTCCAAAAACATTGTCCCAGTGACTAATTGCAAAATCTTTCTGTTCGGCTCCTGTGTGTTTTATGTGAAAAACCTCTCTTCTCAAATGCCCTTACAAGATTTAGAAGGAAATCCACATCTTCCTGTTACTTCACCTTTACAAGAACTATGCTTTTTGATTCAGAAATCCTCTGTTCAAATCTATAAAAAATGTGTGTGATATATTTTTTTTGTTTTCTTTGTTGTTGTCATGTTTGTTTTGTCTTACACTAACCAAACATTTCTCCAAGTCATACACAACCATTATTTTGTTTTTTGTTCTGTCTATTAAGATCCCCATTAGCTACAGAGGTGCAGTGGCTTTTCTTCCTGCGGTCTCCTCAAAATCATCACATGCTTTTATACATACTACCTCTCTCTCGCACGCAGACGCACGCAGACGCACGCAGACGCAGGCAGACGCAGGCAGACGCAGGCAGACGCAGGCAGACGCAGGCAGACGCAGGCAGACGCAGGCAGACGCAGGCAGACGCAGGCAAGAGACGCGCACGCGCAGACGCAGGCAGACGCAGGCAGACGCAGGCAGACGCAGCAGACGCAGCGCAGAGACGCAGCAGACGCAGGCAGACGCAGGCAGACGCAGGCAGACGCAGGCAGGCAACGCAGGCAGACGCAGGCGACGCAGGCAGACGCAGGCAGACGCAGGCAGACGCAGGCAGACGCAGGCAGACGCAGGCAGACGCAGGCAGACGCAGGCAGACGCAGGCAGACGCAGGCAGACGCAGGCAGACGCAGGCAGACGCAGGCAGACGCAGGCAGACGCAGGCAGACGCAGGCAGACGCAGGCAGACGCAGGCAGACACAGGGACACACACAGACACAGACACAGGCAAACACACACAGATACACACACACAGACAAAGATGCAGACAGACACACACAAAGACGCAGACACACACACACACACACAATAACAGAAAAGCTCAATGGGAAATTGCTTCCAAACTATATACAAAATATTACCACAGAATACCTTACAAAAAGACATAGATACACACATACAGATTTGCATAGGAAATAATCAAATTGTGAACATGTGTAGAAAAGTGAATTGTTAATCAGGGGAACAGAGCAGACTTTAACACACACACACACACAAAAAACTCTTTCCGTTTTTATATGAGTGCTTTCATTTATCATAACCGCATTTGTTTTCCCCAGAACCCGAGGTAGAGAAGCCTTTTCATCGTCGGTGCCTTCGATCCCCAACCCGTTCCCAGAGCTGTGCAGCCCATCAAAGTCACCCGTCATCAGCTCCCTGCCTCTTTCCACAGACGACAAACGCGTGAGTGCGGAATACTAACATTTCTCTCATCACTGGACTTTAACCAGTGGATCGAAACCATGGTGCCGTGCTGCAAGAAAGCATTTAATATCAATATCAGGGGAAAAAAGCTCATTCATGTCTTTAAACACATTGGATCCAGTCTTTCACTTCCAGAATCCGATTATAACTATGCATGTGTTTAGATATTTACTACAAAGAATTGTGATTGCCAAAAAACATCACAGAAAATTGGAGCGTGTTGTTACGATATAAAAGGCTTTTACACTTGCGGCAAACCTGAGAAAAGTTGTGGAAAAAGTAATATCCACTTTCCTGGGCCTGAGAAAGTTTTATAGATCTATTTTTGAGTATTTGACAATGACAAAAAAGAAAATCCAGAAATATCTAACTTGTTAATTAAAAGATAAGATTGCTTTTTTTTCCGTCGCCACCCCCTGCCTGCCGATGCCGGAACTACACTTTCCCTGAACAAACCGCATTTGTATTGCATTTAACTTTATCGATCCTTTTTAAAATATCTTGAGTCAAACAGATGCCAGTTGGCCTCACTCAGCAGAAACTAATGGGGGACTTTTTTTAATGATAGTATTTAGTCTGGCACCGCACGCGAGCGGGAGGAAGGCCAAAAGATTTATGACAAGCCTGCTTGTCAATCATCGAAATAATCTGCCTTTATTTACAGAACAATTATGAAACCGTAGCATCAATAACTGTAGTGGGATCGCCAGAAACAGTGCTATACTTAGAACACTGTTTTTGTGCCAAAATTCTTTCTGTGTCTGTTAAGCCCTTGGTTTCTGCTGCATAAATGGTGCTTTAAACAATAAGTTTGCCCTGGTCAGTTCTATATTCTTCTTCAAAACCTTCAAATTCCACATTTTTTAAAGTCATATGTCTGCATATTTCTTCAACTCTTGTCTCTATAATGTTATGTAAGATCACTAGCCACCAACCAGTCCAAACATGTATAGAAATCCTTAATGTTTGTCTGTACTAGAAGGCTATGTCTCTCTGTGTTTTTTTTAATAATCATTGCATATGTTTTTTGGGTTTGAACTGTTGATTCTCTGATCTGTGTTGGCGAATCGACAGCTTTGTTAAGTCCTCAGGTAACGACAGTATTGATATAGGGCTATGTTTATTTGTATTTATTTATTATTTATTATTCAGACACACAAAGGGTTCATATAAAACAAACGCAACAAGAAAAGAGAAAAAAATTCAATTGAAAAGAAGTCAATGCATGTTTAATTCCAGTTAGAAATGACAAAGTCGGCCTGATCTGTCCTGTTTACTGTAATATACTGTAGACTCATACACTATTGTGACATCAGTATATATTTAATTAGCACATTGGTTGCATTTCTCTCTCAAATCCTTAGCTACTTCCCAAAACTGTCTCTCAAATCATGACGCATGCATCGTGTCACTTAAAAAAAAAGTCTACCCACATCATTTTGGGACGCCGTTTCCTATTCCCAGTCATTCTCCGAACCTCTTTGTGAAATTTAAAAATCCACATTACATATTTTCTCAGTGTCTGTGGGGTTTTGGGACTCTGAAATGGCAGCTGACTCACCTGACGAGTCGCCTCATGTTGACTGACAGCTTTCAGGTCGAGCTGGTTTTTCTGTTTGTCTGCGAGGGATGCGGCGTCCAGAGAACCAGTGAACGCCACTGTACCTTCATCACCTCTGCTCTGCCCCATTAACCCCACGCCTGCAGCATTTTCATCAAATCTTCATGACACTTCATAATAATGCTCGAGTAACATGTATTCTTGCTGCCAGGGAGCTCACACATACAGACACATTTAAAGGGGATGTCTGCAACTTCAAGTGTATTTAATGTAGACATATTTTTGACCATTCTGTATGAATCTTTCATAATGCATATATTTAAAACAGTCCCTCCCTTTGAAATAAGCATCACCTGTAAGATTGGGTTGAGGAGAATAGTTAGACCAATGAGGAGAGGTCTTGGCTGTCTATCTAAGATTTGAATTCAATGCGTCCAATCAGGAAGCTTTGGGGGCGGGTCCAACTGAGGCATGTGTTCAAAAGAGGTCTTTGAAAACTGGACTGAAGCAATAAGACATGTATTGGCTTATAATATTATAATATTGGCTTAAGTTTCTATATTTTGTATTTTGGTTTCTATTCTGGACTTGCGTTTGTGCGTTAATCTGAAAACAATGAAGTAATAATAATAGTCATAATAGAAAACAAAATTAAAAAAATTAAATAAAAGAAAAACACATGGAAATCTGCTGGTTAATTAGTGCATTAAAACATATGTTACAATACTAACTTTAATCCAAATTGCTACCTGCTACAGTATAGCATTGACATATTAATCCATAGCCCATTTTTGTCATTATCCAAATGTTTAATATTGATTTACTTATGATGCAAAATAAAATAATAACATGTATTTATATCGTATTTGCTAACACAATTTTCTGTTTTTGTTTTTGCATTGATGTTAATGGAAATGACAGGAAGTTGGCAGCACTTTTGTTTTTAAACGGGTGCCAGCTTCTCGACCTCAGTTCGGATGACGAGATAAAACCTGAAAAACCTTTGTTGCCAGGTTGACATTCGAGAGTCTGTAATAACTGTCCGCGGGCGTTTATAACATGTTTCTGTCTGCCGCCGCATTACACTTGACAGGTCTTTGGCCACAGATTCTGGCTCTCCTCCAGTAAGAACAGTGTCGTGTGTAAAACTGTCTCATAATGTTATGGCTATATTTTCTGTCAAAACTATGATCGATGCATTACATTTATAGCCTGGTCGTACCACACCACAATACAAAGTACATTTGGTACTAAGGTCTGGAGGTGCAGGACATTCCTCTTGCTTCGGCTTCAATTTCTCGATAGAACCAGACCGGATTACTTTACTATCGCATTGTTTGCCATTGCCAAACTACAACCTGCCCGTTCGGTGCAAACTCTTGACATCACCCACAACTAACTTCAACACCCGCCTCCTGCGCTCTCTGATTGGTCGGATCGAATTCAACCGATTGTAATCGCAAACACAGGGACCAGACCCAGACGTTACATGCAGGAAATGATGATTGAGTGGAGTGTACGGATGGATAAGACCAGGCTATAATATTTAACTATGGATGCTGTCCAAGCATGTTAAACTATATATTCATCTGAAGGAAAAGACTTTCAACTATCTTTGCTAACCCCTGACCCTGAAACATGTATGTATTTAATTTTAGGATATAAACTTCAAATCATGCAATCAATGTTTTGTATTGAATTGGTTTTCAATGTACAAAAACAAGTTTAGTCTCTTATAAAGTCATTGTTGATTTAGACTAGAATGGATGGCATTCTCGCTTCTCAGCAAAAAGGTCTTGGGTTCCCGGTCGGAACAGGGCCCTTCTGAGTGCAGTTTGCATGTTCTCCTTGTGTCTGCATAGGTTTCCTCTGTGTGCTCCAGTTTCCCCTACCACTAAAAGCATGCACAATAAGTAAATGCTCCAGCTCCAACAGTCCTGACTAAGCCTTATACGTGGATAAATAAAGTGTACATTTACATTAGTTTATTGTATTTTTTATTATTATTTATTTCCAAGTGAAGAGAAGTGACTGTGATCGTCAACACTGATTTGGAGAGATCCTGATCAATTGATGCTAAAATACAAAATTAAATCCGACCTCAAGGCTCTCCGGTCTTTCGCTGTTCATGTTGTAACCTCTTTCCGTTCGGCAGCTGGTAAAGGTGTACGGGGAGGACAGCCACAGCCGCTCGGTGAGGGTGAGTCCGGAGACCACGGCCAGAGACCTGTGCCACATGCTGGTGCAGACGGCCCACTGCAGCGACCAGGAGAACTGGGCCCTGCTCGAGGTCCACCCTGCGCTGGGACTTGGTAAGAGTCTGGGAGTTTCTTTTGTTTGTTGTTTCGTACAGAATAAATATGGAGATTTGTACTGGTTGTTCTCCGCAGAGAGGTGTCTGGAGGACCATGAGGTGGTGTGGGCGGTGCAGTCCACATGGTCCCTGAAAGGCGACACGAGGCTGGTGTTTCGCAAGAACTACGCAAAATATGAGTTCTTCAGAAAACCCACGGTAGGTTTGATGTTTGCTTTGATCCCACATGTTGGACTGGTGCACTTCAAATGGACCCATTCTGGTTCACTACATACAGTATACTTGTAAGACCTCCATGTCTTACATGTATATGTCAAACTCATTTTCATCAGGGGCCGAAAGAATAGAAGGGGTTTCCTTTTCAGATACTTATTTTTTTATTATGAAGATTTTTTGACATGAGTTTCACTATTATGTTGATTTTTTTTTTTTAAACAAATTTGTGTTTATTCTTAAGATTGAAGTTGAAAGTTGAACACATTGATTTATTTTTTAACTATTTACCTTCTAGTGAGGTGTTGGGTTAACATTTTAGAATATTTAAAATGTTGTTGTTTTCCTGGGAAAAAAAGATGAGGTATGACATGCCTTGGTCGCCCATAACCGTCAATGCTGCAATTTAATATGAATAATAATTGAAAATCATTTATGGGCCACTAAAATTGTCTTGCGGTCCGGATTTGGCCCACGAGCCTGAGTTTGACGAGCCTGTGTCCACCTGTCACTTCAGTTTACAGATTATGAAACAGATCTGTGAAGCTTTTTGAAACTAAAACAAGTACGAATACAGGTAAACAGAAACGATGTCGGGCAATGTAGAAACCATGTGACAGTTTAACAATTTGTTATCAAAAATCAATCATATCTAGAAGTGCCAAAACCATTTCACTCTGGAATATGCAGGGGTGGACTGGGGGCCAACTTTTTTTAAATGTTTATTCTTAAAAAGTGAGTTGAGACCAGTGCTTACTTTTATGATTGTGAATAATTTCTTTTTTAATTATTTTTATACCACAGTTTACATAGTTTTCTCATATTTTTGCACACTAATTGTAGCACTAGCCTTTAATCTTTGTTGAGCACAGTTTTGTAGTTTAGTTTCTCTTTTCTATGGACTTCATCAGCAAAGACGTTTCTGCAGAAATGGTTCGTACACTTTGCCTGTACACGCCCGCTCTCTAATCTAGTGCCTTTTTTAGACGTTATTATTGGATTGACTCATCCTTCATCAAGATCATGTTGACATGACAGTTGGCGGTGAGTCCTCCCACTCAGTGTCGAGCCCGCACCTCCGTCAGGAACATCCAAAGAGGAAGAATTAAGTCATGACATAACGGACAAACGGGTTCAGGTGTTTTGACAAATCTCCTCTTTTCATTTTTTCAGCTCTTCTTCCCAGAGCCCATGATCTCAGACAGTGCGGACGTGAGCAAAGGCCTGACGTCACCAGAGCTCATTAAGGTAAGAGAGGTCGGTGTGTAACCAGCGTGTGCAGTGCTTTTAGTGTTTGTAGTTTTATTTTTATTTCTTTATTTTTTCTTTATTTTTTATATACACTTTATTATTATACATCCTTTTTTTCCAATTTTCTTTATTTTCTATTTTTTTAAACTTTATTTTTCCATTTCTATTTAATATCATTATTATTATCAATATTTTTATGTAATCTTTTCCTTTACATTTTAATTGTTGCCTTTCCATGTTTTTTAGTTATGACATTCTGACCATTTGAATTCTAAAGGCAAAAACTCAAAAATAAAGTGTATAAAAAAGTGTTTGCAACTGTACAAGCACTTTGTTGGGGCAAGTGCAATGTACTGTAATCTGCACCGCACTAGCACTTGAGTCATTGTATGTACTTTGTTGCTTGTTGTGTATACACAGAAGATGCCTCTCATCTTTCTCTAACCCACAGAATCTCTTAAAGTCTGGGACATGTCCTGAAATCCAAGGCTTCCTTCAGTCCAAAGAGCCCAGCCGGAAGTCCTGGAAGAAGGTGTACTACTTCCTGCGCCGCTCTGGCCTCTACTACTCCAACAAAAGTTCCTCCAAGGTCAGTGCCAAAATGTCCCAAACTTCACCACAAATACTACACAGAGGTTGTTCATGGTGTAGGGCAGCCATTCCCAAACTCAGTAACACCGAGGCCCCCTTAAAAATCTGACGGGTCTGCGTGGCCCCCCAAAATAATAACCAAGAAGACAACATTAAGAATAGGCTCCTCTGGTTATTTTATTTTGGGGAAATAGCCTCTGCTACAAACATTGTAATACAAAAATGATTACAGTGGATTATTCAAGTCAAATAATGAACACAAATATTTTAATATTGCAAACAAAACATTATAAATTTAACATTAAATATTTTTTTTTTATTATTATTTTTTTTTTATGACCTCCCGCGGCCCCCCTGCAGTACCCTCGCGGCCCACCAGGGGGCCGCGGACCCCACTTTGGGAGACACTGGTGTAGGGGAATGGGAATGGCACTGTTCTCACCGTTAGTCATGACTTCACCTGAACGTCTAAGCTATAGGTTTAGGTTTAATAATCCATATATGGTACGATTTTCTCCAAAAATAATACCTAGGGTTTGTCACAATAGAAAACTGTTGTGAACAATTTTGACCACAAAATGTGCTGGACAAGGTCATCAGGAAGTCCAGCTCAGTCCTGGGCTGTTGCCTGGACCCAGAGCAGCAGGTGGGGGACAGGAGGGTCCCGGACAAACTAACATCTATGTGGACGATAACTGTCGCCCCCTGCAGGACACTCTGTCCGCTCTGGAGAGCAGTTTCAGTGACAGACTTATTCACCCTCGCTGTGTGAAGGAGAGGTTCCGCAGGTCAAAAAAATCTGATCAAAAGATGTGACAGAGGGAGCAAATACATACATTGGAACGCTAGTAATGAAACCAAATTGTTTCCCTTTGATTTTATTGCATAAAGAGAAAAAAATCCTTTTATAATGTATCAAAATCTGCTTTTGTTTCACAGGAGCCGAGGCACTTGCAGTATGTGGCTGATTTAGAAGATTTGAACGTTTACACCGTAGTCAACAGCAGAAAACTGTACGGAGCTCCAACAGATTTCACTTTCTGTATCAAGGTACACATTCTCCTGAGTCTGCCTGTAACTGGTGAAGGGACTGTCCTCTGCTTCTGTCTTTGCCTTTCATTCTAAACAATAATGTATTTCAGTTAATGAGCGGTGACTATGCTCTGAGTATGAACTTACAGTCTACAGCAGTGTTCCCCAACCTTTGTCACCTTTTGTCATTGCGAACACCACCAGCTGAAACTGATACAACATTGAAACTCTGACTTTGCTTTAGTAAAGACTGTATTCTCATCAATGTGTGTTATTTAGAATATCAAACAAGCACAAAAAAGTCTTTCTAATCATCTCACATTATTATCTTTTCACATGATTTTGCCTAAGCAGGTCGTATTGGATCATTTTCAAGGCACACAAACATGCCACCCTCAATAGGATTAAAGAGAAAAATGTGCACAGACCAGACTTTCACACAAGCTGCTTTACTCCAGGCCGTCTGTGCATACTAATAATCCACTTTTCTATTCTCGCATTCACGTCATACTTCTCACGACTATTGCTACGTCAATATTGGTGATCTGAAATGCCAAAGCAGTCGAGGCAGTGCAAAAAAACCCAACTAAGAATTCCTTTTGTATTCTGTGCGTGTGCTTCTGCAGCCCACGAAAAACCCGGTGCGTGTCCAGGACCTGAAATTCCTGTGTGCGGAGAGTGAAGAAACGCGGACTTGTTGGACGTCAGCCTTCAGACTTTTCAAGGTCTCACAATGATTAACGTCTTATGTCGCGTGGACCGGTCAGCCTCAACATTAGGATCACCGGCATAATGAGAACCCCTTGTAAAATTATATCCGCAGAAGAAGAATGACAGCTGTGTTCATACATAATGTCCCTTACTCTGTAGAGATGGAGCTTCTACTGACTTCTAAATGCACAGAGAAACACAACCAATCGGGGGTTCCAAATCTTAATTTTCAGACTATTCTAAGGGAGAACATTAGTTATGAATTCAATAAATGTATATTCTTGTTGGTTGCATTTTCATAAGTGAATGTAATTTGGCCTTTTTCTTATTATTCATTCACACTAGTCTTAATCACTGCTTCAATGATATGTTGACTGTCACGAACTGGCTCGAGGTTCGGACAAAACTGGAGTCCACACATGTTTCAAAAAGGTACCAAAAATAGAATATTTATTTAAAAGGCTGCTACTGCCAGGTGAGAGATGCCCATCAACTTCCTGACAGCACTTTTGAATGTGGCTGGTCCCACCCATCTCAGGTGCTGCCAGTCCCAATCAGTTCTCCCATTGGCTGGATCCTGAAAGGAAGAGAAAGCCAGCAGCAACACACAAAGCAGACAAGACTGGGGTCGTCACACCCTCCCCCTTAAGTCAAAAACCAAGGGTTTTTGTAAAACAAATTAACGACCCCAGAGTTAGGAAGTCCAAGTGCAAATTCAATATTTGTAAGTTACACTCACCAAGCTTTTGGAATCTCCACACCCTTGTTGAACAAGGGTTATTTTCAAAGCGTTGATCTGGAGATGTGGTGACAAACAATGAAACCATTCAAAAACTCAGAATGGAGGCAACCATGTACAGCGCCACCTGCCTCCAGAGAATATTGCACTCAACTATCCTTTCTCCAACAATACAATTACAAAAGGCAAAGTTACAAATTGAGCCACACAGACTCAACTAAAAACCAAACATCTCTCACCAAGCCAACAAACCAGACAACCTATAGAAAATACCATCCAAACAAATTAGCCCTTTTGATAGTGCTCAGGGACCAACACAGCGAAACAGGCAACCAAATGTAAATGACAATGCAAAATCAAGCGCTACTTAACGTAACCAAGTAAGAGTACACAACTTACAAAACCCAAAGATTATAGCAACAAATGTAAGCCTAGAACTTACCAAACCAAAACCTATAACCAAACAAAAGTAAGTGTGAACTACTTACAAAACAGAACTCAGTTTAACAAAAGGCTCCAGTCAAAAAAAACCATACTAAATGAGTCCAGATCCCCTCTACCTCAGGCCTCACTGTCTAAGCTGGACCCTAGTCTTCGTGCAGTCACATGTGATGGGGTATTATGCACATAAAACCAGCGGAGTGATTGGAGAAACAAACCCCTTCACATCCCTGGAAGTGCTCCCGAGCCGATGTAGGGGAAAGGGAATTGGGAAGCTCTACCCACGTTCACTGCAGCCTAAAACAGAAACACCACGAGTATCCTGTTGACACTCGCTGTTAAACCTAACAGGGGTTGACTCCAAAAATGGCTAAACAAATGGTCATACCAAAAACCAAGAGACCATACAAACAAAACCTGGGCCTAACTGAGTAACAAATGTATATGAAAACAGAATGAGCACTAAACAAAAAGGCTGTAGATTCACCACAAACATGTGTGACTCAAACAACAAGTAGTTACTAAAACAACTGAAAGCAACTACTGAACTAGAGGTAAAACCATACAACCTGGCCAAGGTCAACCATCTTGACCTCCCATTTCCAGGAACAGATCCCGGACGAGCCCCCATTTGTCACGAACTGGCTCGAGGTTCGGACAAAACTGGAGTCCACACATGTTTCAAAAAGGTACCAAAAATAGAATATTTATTTAAAAGGCTGCTACTGCCAGGTGAGAGATGCCCATCAACTTCCTGACAGCACTTTTGAATGTGGCTGGTCCCACCCATCTCAGGTGCTGCCAGTCCCAATCAGTTCTCCCATTGGCTGGATCCTGAAAGGAAGAGAAAGCCAGCAGCAACACACAAAGCAGACAAGACTGGGGTCGTCACATTGACATTATAATGATAGATTTGTTAATTAAATGCTTAGCGGTTTGTTTGGTAAATAAAGCCTGAAAGTAGGATTCTAACTGTTCATTCTGTTGTTCTAATGTGTGATCAGCACGGCAAACAGCTGCAGTGTAACTATCAGTTATCCAAGTTGGCACCGGAAAGACGAGAAGCAGCCAACCACGTCCCAGACACAAAAGTGAGTCAATCTGAATACAAGAAATATCCGTTTAATATATATATTTTTATGTTGCATTGTTATTGTTATTCCAGTCCAAGTCTGAGGTGAGTCTAGTGGCCATGGACTTTTCAGGGAAGGCTGGAGGACGGGTTATCCAGAGCGCATCAGAGGCCCAGAGCGCAGCAAGGGAAGAGGGCCAGGCCTGGAGGGTGAGTCACACATGTCCCACACGGAGGCCCAGCTTGCATCCATTTATATCTTTTTTTTTTTTTTTTTCTGGTTTTCAAGCCTTTTCTAATGCCACAGTTAAGTCTCTCCTCCTGGTTTAGTCAAAAAATGTCTTTGACTACAATGCATACTATATTTTGTATCTATAAATCATGCCGTATTCAGCAAGGTCCGCAAGGAATTATGGGTAGAATTTTCAATCATTTGACTAAAAGGATTCAAATTATTAAATTTATCGCATGTTAAGACATCTCAGATTGAATTTAAGTCATAAATGTGCAAACTGTCTCTTTTTGGCTGTGGCCGGGGACTCCATTCTCAACGGTGGACTCAGATTGGGGACTGAGGAGCGCTGGAGGGCGCCATAAAAGAGATTGATGGGAGAAAAGAGGGAGACCGTAATCAGGCGTGTCCAGGCTGCAGTCTAGCTCAGAGGGCATAGTTATATAAATGTATACAAGGACATGGAGACAGGGACAGGAGGATGATGACATAAACATCCTACAAGTGCCACAGAAACGACTGATATGTTAGTTTTACCATTTACAGTGTTGCATCCCAAAAGTATGAGGTTTAACTTATTACAAACTTTCAGTTACTTCGACTCAACAGGAAAAGACCACCGCAGACCAGTTGTTTTGATTCTGTTTAATTGATAAACAAGTTCATTATTTCAACCAAGGACTTACCGGGTCCATATTTTAGGGAATATATTTTGCCAATAGCAATTTTTACATATAACAAAGTTCACATGAGAAAAGAATTGCGAGTTAGAAGACCTTGTTATAATTATGTCAGGAGTGAGTTTTGAGATGCAACTTTACCGGTTTTCATCCTTATACAGTTACTTCTGAGAGCTGTGGTTGGTTTCAGAAGTACTGCTGCTTCCAACACTATATTTCTTTTTTCCCATGCGTTGTGCAATTACCACTGTCACTTCACGGTCCACAGCTGCAGCTCAGTGTTTGACCTTTTGTCTTTGTCTCTGGACAGAGACGAGAAGCCCTGAGGTGCAGTTTGCCGAACCTGACCTCTGGCCCGAGACCTTCCTGTAAGTCCACCGTAAAGTCCACGCTTCTCTCCTTGTGGAAAATGTCAACTCTCAATTTGTTTTTTTGTTCCCCGCAATCTAGCAATCCACAAAACGCAGCCCTGGTTCCACGGCGGCGTGTCCAGAACAGAAGCTCAGAGACTCATCCAGAGACAAGGACTGGTCGATGGGTAAAGATTTTTTCTCTTTTCAGAAATGTCTGTAGAAAAATTGATTCTTCAAATATCTGTCTATTTTATAGCTACAATATCAACTTTTACGTTCATTTTTTAATCCAGTTTTCATTCTTATATTGGAAAAATAAAAATGCTATGATAAAACATGCATTCTTACTGTAAGCAAAGTCACATCTCCACTCGGGCTATCAAAAAACATAAATATTGATACTAAAGCAAGTATTAGGCGTTTGTGAGTATTCTCGAGGTGCTAAAGCCGGGGTCCAGGGCGGGTCCAGGGCGGGTCCAGGGCGGGTCCAGGGCGGGTCCAGGGCGGGCCCAGGGCGGGCCCAGGGCGGGTCCAGGGCGGGCTCGGTCTATGGACTGACACGTCTCCAACACAGCCATCAGAGGAAAGACAAACGAAAGAGCATTTTTAGATCATCACCGTGGTATGGAGTCTACTCATTGGTAAAATAACATAGTTCTGAGACTTTCACAAAGTCAATCTCTTTTTAACTGCAAAAAGGATCTATCCATAAAACAAGTCACCTTCAACCTTGCTTTTGCTGCCCCCAAACTGTGGAATAGTCTACCTCTGTCCATTAGAGTAGCTCCTTCATTGGAGGTTTTTAAATCTAGTCTAAAGACACATTTTTACATTTTTAGCAAAGTTTTACCTTTTTACCTTTTACATGTATTTGTACTAAAAATAATTCATCTTTTGTGCCTGTGACGCACTTTGGGCAGCTGGTGGTGTTATAAATGTACTATACAAATAAATCTGACAGTGGCGTAGACATTGTGACGACACTAATCCTCCTCAGATCTTGTGTTTCGTACTCGGCTCAGAACTGCTTGATCTGCAGACGAGAACGACCTTGTTACCACGCAACAGGCTGTGGTGTCTCACTGTGTCGCGGCCTGTTTTGCAGCTGATGTAATGACTTTTAATGATGGCGTGTCAACCGGTGTGCGTCTCCAGCGCGTCTCGTGTGTGTTTTTTAATCCACAAACCGTCTTGTGTGCTTTGTAGGATGTTCCTGATACGTGACAGCCAGCAGCACGCCCAATGCTTCGTCCTCTCGCTCTGCTACAAGCTCAAGACTAAACACTACCTGGTTATTCCCGTAAGTTCTCTCTGAAGTATCGGTGTGTACGCGTGTGTGTGTGTTTGTGTACCTGTGTGTGTGTGTGTGTGTATGTTAAATAATTACCCTAGTAAAAACTTTGTTAGCGATAGTAAATGTTTTATAGTACTTTCACGTCGGGAAATGCAAGTTTTTGGTTTATATAAATTACTTTGTTTGTCACATCAGAAAGAGTCCTGCAGAAAAGAAAAGGTCCTGTCAACAAATCCGATAACAACATTCTGTCTCGATCTTATTTGAAAACATGTTCTAATTTGCATATTTGCTAGAAATGGCCATTTGACACTTTTCAAGGCTCTAGGTTGAGAGCTGAGTGACGTTGGTGCTCTTTTTTTCCCCCTTTTATGTACAATAAAACTCAGATGTGTAGATACCATGCATGTGAAAACAGTTGTGAAACTCGGTAATTGAACCAAACGGTTGAAAGAAACATGTACAAGAAGCAAGGCAAGTTTATTTGTAGAGCACAATTCATACGCAGGGCAACTCAAAGTGCAAAATACAGATCTATAGTGGAGTAGAGAGCCTCCACCCAGCAGTGTATCTCCCAATGCTAAAGATTCCTTAAAATAATTCCCGGACCCAGGCGGACCCACCTTTTTAAAATCGAATCCTGTGTTCCTAATTGTCACATTTCAGAAAGTATCATTTAAATACGCCCGTGACCTGTTGAGTTATGTGTTTTCTTTGTCTACAGACTGTTTTGGCAGATGTAACAGAGTGCGTAGCAACGGGAGCTCTGGTGTGTACTATCCTGGTGCACACTGGGGTAGTCTTGCACAGTTTTTCCAATGTGGTTTTACTGCAAACGGCAAATAAATTCTTGAATCTTGAACTTAAACGTTGTCATAATTTTCAAACTGATCACTTGGATTGGATCATTCTTGGATCACTCTCGGTCATTCCACCTCCACTAACAAAGCATTTCTTGAATATCTGTTGCAGTTTGAAGAAGGAGGCAGGAAGTACTACACTATGGACGACGGTGTGACGCTTTTCATCGACCTTCTGCAGCTCGTGGAGTTTCACCAAATCAACAAAGGCACTCTCCCGGTGTGCCTCAAACACCCCTGCATCTGTGTCCTCTGACCACTGCCCTGTCCGCTCCAGGATGGGACCAAGAGGAGATACACAAATGGACCTAATTTAATGAATTACACACAAGTGCAATTTACTCACCCGCCACTTGACAATTTGAGCTCATAAAAACAGAAGCCCTTTAAACAAATTGACAGATTAAACGTTTCTTTGAGCAACGAGACAAATATACACGCTCAATGTCTTTTAATAGTTTTTTTTCTCAATCTATGATCCTCAAAGAGTTGGAAGAATCTCATTATTCATTTTAATTACTTTTGTATTTGGTTCGTTTTTTAGTATTTTTAAGTTGCCCTGATGAGCTGCGTTCTCCAGAGACTTCATTGTTTAGTTTTAGTTTTAAAAGTGAAATGTTATTCTAGTTGCCACGAGAGGGCGCTCTGCAGTTAATTAATGTCACAAGAACATTTTTACTTTTTGTCAAACTTCAAAAGGTATGGTATGTTTTTATACTTTAAAATGGTACGACACTCGCCACACTGCCTTCAAATATAGATGAGACATTAGACTTTCTCTCATGAACTCTATAAAGCTAATTTAGGATTGGCTAATGTCCACAGCTATAGTCTGACCCTTACAGGACTCTTCAACTCAACAATGAAATAGAAATCCCAGTTTGCAATCATGTAGCAGAATATTGTATTTGTATGTCCTGTTTATATTTTTGTGAAGAGCCAAAGCTCTAAAGTTAAATGGGAACTGGACTAATATATGGTGTATAAGTGTCATTTACTCAAAATATGTAAACTTTATGTATGTGTATTTTATTCGTGTAATTTTGCAAACCCTACAATTGTATATGTTAAATAAATATTTTCAGATTAACAGTGAATATTTTCTTTACTATCATAGAATATGTAAATAGTTACACCACATTACCCTTTCTGAGTGCGTTCACCATAGTCCCATTGAGATAGTTGACTTTAGGACAGAAGTATTTATTTTGTTTGCACCTTTTGTTTGGACTTAAATGGCTGTTGTCATAATTCTTTCAGTCCAAACACAGGGATGGTAAACTACAATTGTAGCCACAGCTGTCCTGGGGCAAAACCCCCAGTAAGTGCCATTGGCCCCTCCCATTACCACCAACCAACCATTCACACACCATACTCTTTCTCATGTGGGAGAAATGTTTTCTGTGGCACCTGATGTTCCCAATAGTCTCCCATCACATCTCTAACCAGGCCCTACCCTCCTCAGTTTCAGATGTCTGACGAGATCTGGCTTTTACAAGTATGGTCACAATACTTTGATCATTTAAGAAAAGATAATACAAAATCCAAAGTAAACAACAAAAGGGAAACAAACAGGGATCGAGGACAAGAACTAAACCAGACTGGAATGACGAGTACACACAGGTGATACACATGAGGGCGGGGCAGGTAACCACACAACAGGAAGTACAACAAAAGGGGACACGGGGATTATTATATACAGTCTATGGGATTAACACATTACAAATCAAAACCTAAACCATGACAGTTATGGCCTCTGTCACATCTTTCAGATCAGTTTTTTTCAGACAGAAACGTGAAAAGGACAGGACCACTCTCACACAGCCAGCTCTCAGTTCAAAGAGTCATATACATAGTTCCCACATGACGTCACTACATACGGGTATTTGCCGACCCGGCGCCATTTGTGTTGGCATGCTGTGGGCAAAACAATAGAAAAAGAAGCTGAAACGTGTTAATGTCGTGATAAAGTTGAAAATGGTCATCTCCTGCTGGGTCAATGGATGTTCAAATCGTGCCGGAGGTTCCGTTAAACTTGGATTTTACAGTATACCCATCATTAGACTTCATGAATGTGAGAAGACTAAGCTTTTGTCAGAACAACCACGGAGGTTATGGCTTGCGAAGATAAACAGGCAAGAAACTCCCTCAAAACACGCAAGAATATGCTCGGAGCACTTTGTGTCAGGTGCGTATCGTATCTCATAATGTGTTGACAGACGTAATTTACTCAGTACTAACTTGTGTATGCTGATAGCTGGTAACTTGAGAGTTTCATTATTTAGCGTTAGATTACTTTATTATGAGGAGGATCGGTGTCGCGTCCGAGGCTCTCGAGGGCAACGTAAATGTATTAAATAGATAATAGTTCTATGGTGGGCTAAAACAATGTTCACAAACAGCATTGCTTCTGTAAAAAGATCTGTGTCATAAAATAAACTGCTCTTTACGCCTGGAAAAATCAGTTGCCCACCATTCACCAAAACATACGGTCAAAAACGTGGAAATAAACAATAACAGCAATCCAGAGTGTCCGTGTGGCATTAGCATTAATTAAATTAATTGTTAATATAATTAAAATAATTAAATGGAGCTCCAACTGGTATTAAATCTAAAGTTTTTGAGAAATGTTTGCATTGCTTGTTAATTTTTGCTGCATAATTTGATCAAATATGTAAAACATGTCCGTAGCACGTTAAACTGTGGTGCCATTGTATTAATATACAATTATTTGCTCAAAAGTTGCCCTTTTTTTCCAATTTGCGTTTGAATATCTACATTTATTCTCATTCTTCTGTTTAATGGAATGCACAAACACAACAGCGTGCCATCAAAGATGGCGTCTCCGAGGAGGTCATGTGACATTCATTGGTCTGTGGGAACTATGTATAGTGACTCACAGATATTATAATATAGTCCCCCGCACATGCTCCACTTGCGAGAAATGATCCCGTGACAAAACCATGAACCCAAAAAGCCAAACTCAAAGAGACCTGGCCTGGATGTAAATGAGCTCATAGCGGGAGCGAGATGAAAGCGAGCCCGAGGTGAGTGCTGCTGCGGCTCTGTCCTGTCCCTGGTGTCCCCCCCTTGTCAGGTCCCCTACCTGCGTGAAGTTGGCCCCCCACCCCACGCAAAAGTCAGTGAAAATAGCCCCAATCGTTTGTGCTGCGTTAGTGCTGGTTTGTGCAGAAAAAAATATCGTTTGTGCTGTTTTGGTTTTTAAGATATTAAATAATCTTTTAAAGGTCAATCTAAGTTCACGCAGCCCCCCCACATCGTCCAAACTGGACGAAAATGGTCTCGTTCGTTTGTGCTGCGTTAGTGCTGGTTTGTGCTGAAGAAATTTTCATTTGTGCCGTTTTGGTTTTTAAGATATAACAACTTTATAATGACGCGATGACGTCACGCAGCCCCCCCACATCATCCAAACTGGACGAAAATGGTCTCGTTCGTTTGTGCTGCGTTAGTGCTGGTTTGTGCTGAAGAAATTTTCATTTGTGCCCTTGTGCACATTGTGCATTTAATGAGCTGTGCCATTGCCATTGGTCCCCTCTGTCCAAACTCACGGGCACGCGCGTATCTAACCGAGCGCGCATCCTCATCCCCGCAGCACGTGGCGTGAGTTGCTATGGTAACATTTCCCGCCGACAGCTTCGATGGACAGGTAAATTATGGGGTAGACAAGCTAATGAAAAGATGGGTCAGGAAGGCTTTACGGTAATTACAGCCACAGGTGAAATTCTGTAAAGATTTAGGCGTGTTGGCACTGGACCACGGTTCAGTCGTTAACATGGGCCTTTTTGTGACATAAACATTTCTATATTTAATTTTCTTCATCATGAATCGTGTGTTGTAAATATTCTGTCTCGTTGTTGTTAAGCATTTTGTATTTTACCAGTGTTTTAAACGCTATCCATATACATAGTTCCCACAGACCAATGAATGTCACATGACCTCCTCGGAGACGCCATCTTTGATGGCTCGCTGCTGTGTTTGTGCATTCCATTAAACAGAAGAATGAGAATAAATGTAGATATTCAAACGCAAATTGGAAAAAAAGGGCAACTTTTGAGCAAATAATTGTATATTAATACAATGGCACCACAGTTTAACGTGCTACGGACATGTTTTACATATTTGATCAAATTATGCAGTAAAAATTAACAAGCAATGCAAACATTTCTCAAAAACTTTAGATTTAATACCAGTTGGAGCTCCATTTAATTATTTTAATTATATTAACAATTCATTTAATTAATGCTAATGCCACACGGACACTCTGGATTGCTGTTATTGTTTATTTCCGCGTTTTTGACCGTATGTTTTGGTGAATGGTGGGCAACTGATTTTTCCAGGCGTAAAGAGCAGTTTATTGTATGACACAGATCTTTTTACAGAAGCAATGCTGTTTGTGAACATTGTTTTAGCCCACCATAGAACTATTATTATCTATTTAATACATTTACGTTGCCCTCGAGAGCCTCGGACGCGACACCGATCCTCCTCATAATAAAGTAATCTAACGCTAAATAATGAAACTCTCAAGTTACCATCTATCAGCATACACAAGTTAGTACTGAGTAAATTACGTCTGTCAACACATTATAAGATACGATACGCACCTGACACAAAGTGCTCCGAGCATATTCTTGCGTGTTTTGAGGGAGTTTCTTGCCTGTTTATCTTCGCAAGCCATAACCTCCGTGGTTGTTCTGACAAAAGCTTAGTCTTCTCACATTCATGAAGTCTAATGATGGGTATACTGTAAAATCCAAGTTTAACGGAACCTCCGGCACGATTTGAACATCCATTGACCCAGCAGGAGATGACCATTTTCAACTTTATCACGACATTAACACGTTTCAGCTTCTTTTTCTATTGTTTTGCCCACAGCATGCCAACACAAATGTCGCCGGGTCGGCAAATACCCGTATGTAGTGACGTCATGTGGGAACTATGTATAGAGGGATCCTACGGTCACGTGACTAGCAGCCACGGCAGCCATACTGGAGGACAACCTCGGCGAGTAACAGCCCTGCTAGCTATCTATAACTGGACGTTCAAAACTAGAACTCTCTCGAACTACATGAAAACTGAACAGAGAATTTGAAGCAGTTAGTGACCCAAATATATACTCAACCTAAATTCATGAATCAGATCCTCTGAAAATGCATCCTAAAATGTATTATTAACTAATGTTTATCGTTACATCCAGGTTTACCGCGGTCGCATATTGTCGCATTAAAACAGTGT